TGACCTATATACTGCATGTCTTTACCATTAACAGAGGGATGGAGGAAATTCGGATTAGGAAAAAAACAGTCATTTTTGGAAGTAAATAAGTCAAGTAGAATTGCAAAATTGATAAGATTATGGACATTTACAAAGAATACGAGCTTGCTGCATTGAAAATTTTCATTTATGAAGACTTCGCAGTAGATCAGAGTGCAATAAATTAATCAGGACAAGCCCTCACCACAATCGGTCGCACGGACGGGTACTATAGCCAATTTCATCGGACATTTCGATTTTCTATCGGTTTTGCGGGTAGGACCAATATTTTCAGAAACTCTGCAGGGTACTTTTTCAAAAGCTAATTCATCATTTTGGGACTAAAAGATACAAGGCATCTTTTTTGTCAAATGAGATTTGAAAATTCACCAACAGAATTTTAACTATGGAATCCGAATTTATTAAAAATTTTAAAATCAAGTCTAATTTCACTTCTAAGAGACCCCATACCATCAAAAATAAACAGTTTACTAAAAAGACATGCTTACAAGTTACATACAGTAATGCAATTCATATGATGCAAATGAATATTCTTGAAGATGAAAGATTGGTTGTTTAAAAGAAAAACAAGATTCAATATTTGTACTCCCTTTCTCTTTCAGTATTTTGATAGTAACCAATACTTTGAGAATGATGTTATATCAAAAGAATTTCACCTGAATGAAACAGGAGAACCATCATCAAAATCAACACCCATCAAATGGAAAAGTGGAAAGGTAGGTTTTGTAATTATCAAGGCTATTGACTCGAATTTGTTTAGAGTACAAATTTAAAACTGACAAAATACAAATGACAATATTTACTCTGTTTTACTTAAAAGTGAAAATCATCATATGCCAAAATGATCTCAGAATTGTTGGTAATTATAAACTATTTGTTAATATGAAATGTGGTCATTCTATCAGCATTGATATATATGCTTGAATTGTTACTGTATGAAAGTATTAGTTCACAAACCTGAAGGGGATTTTTTAACATGTTTGCATGGATCTTGTTCAACTGAAAATAATGTTAAACGTGTACAATTTAAGTTTATTGATTATTAGGACCTCACAAAGAAATCAAGTACCCCAAGTAAAGGAGGGAGAAAGAGAAATGTAGAGGAACAAGAATCCTTCTTCTGTTGGTTCACAGATCACGGGGACGCTGGGGCTGACGAGTTAGGGGAAGTCATTAAAGACGATATCTGGCCAAACCCACTGCAGTACTATTTGGTAAGTCTTTGGTCTTTTAGAAATCCATCAAAATTTTTATGACAGAGTAACTTGAGAGCTATTTTTTTATGCCACACATGAGAAATCTACATTTAAAGCAGAGTCACTAAAAATGCTGGTCGATCATTTATGACGGGGCTGTTTGGGGAAGTTTTTGATTTATAGTTCTTTGTTTTATATTTTTAGGCATCAGAAATAGAGGAGGATGGAGGGGGTAAGTGTGTAGGGACACTGGGTGTTTGTTTAAAGTATTTACTTTAATGTGGAAAGCCCATTTGCTATGTTAATTTAAGTACAATTTTGAAATACTTAAGTACTTGCTATTCAATTTAGTTCAATTCATTTATTGACAGCACCATCACACATTGGTATATAGTCATGAATACAACAATTAACATACATAAAATAGAATACAACAATTAACATACATAAAATAGAATACAACAATTAACATACATAAAATAGAATACAACAATTAACATACATAAAATAAAATATCAAAGAAAAAATATCAGGTTTATTGAAGGTTTTCCTTCTTAATATCAAAGCACTTTTTGAAAAAGTTACAGTTCTATACTCCTCTAGCAGTTTTAATACCTGCAGGGTTGATAATGTCAATAATAGGGTTTTCCTTCATGTAACATTGAGCATTAAATATATCGCAACATTGTAATCTACATTGATCATAAAATTTACACAATTGACATACACGGTTTTTCTCTAGGAATAGGTGGCCTTGAGTATCTCTCCATTTCAAAATGTAGTGTATAAGCATTAATTCTTAGTTTTGTTAGGATTGTTCTTTCAGATTTCTTCTTTGGTAATTATAGATAGTTTTGTAATTTATATTCATTTAAATCAATTATATTAATACTATAAAAAGTTGATTTCCCAGAATTTGGTTTAGAAAAGTTCTTTAATTCTTCACTGATTTTGTTTCTATGATGTTCCTCTAATTTATATTTTAAAGTTTTATGTGATATGTCCCATGAAGATAAAGACAATTTCTGTTGTAGAGTATAAAGTTTTCTTTGCCAATATATTCTAGACCCTAGTGTTTTAGCTTCTTTAAATGCAGACACCATGAAATGAATCAGAAATAAACTACCTGATCAGTTCATTCATTAAGAAACGTGTTGGGGAGTCTGTTTTTAATTTCCGTATCATTTACTTTAGATGATATGGATGAGGAGGGCATGATGGATGAAGAAGATGAGGAAGATTATGAGGGTGAAGAAGAGGTAAGTGTGAAAACAGTAATACATTGTAGATGAAAGCATATTGCAGTTCAAAGGAATATTTGATACTTTGAAATACAGTGCATTGATGTTTTCACTTTTTAAATATGAAATAGAATGGTCTTATAAGTCTTGTAATACAAAACAAGTTCAGTCATTTAAGAAAATGTCACTGTATATGATGTTTGTGCTTTGTTTACAGGAAGGTGAAGGAGATGAGGATGGTGAAGATGAGGGAGATGATGGGGAAGATGAAGGGTGAACTGCCATGGAAACCATAATTCATTGTTATCATTCTTTTTTTACCATGAGACAGTTAACATTTCATCCACACAGATTCTCATGACTTTTCATTGTGCATTGTTAAAGTAGATAATAGATGTCTTGGGTGTGTCATAACATTACAAGCCTGTTTGTTTACGGTGCAAAGTCTTTATTGATACAAATGTTTTAAGTTCTTTAAGGAATTTCTGTGTTGTGAATTCTACTATTGAAGACTTTTTAATTAAGGGAACATGAAATTTAAAGAGTAACAATAATTTTGTGTAATTTTTAAACAAGAAAATTTGAAATGAGAAATTTAATATTAAATAATATTTAAGACTTTGTTTGGGCCGTTCTTTGAATTTTCTGAATTGAAAGTTGATTGTGTTACTGTGTATGTCTCAGTTATTCCCACTTGGAACATTTTTCCATTGTGCTGGATATTGACCAAGGCATGTCAGGATCAAACATTTTGTGCTATCACAAGTCATGACTTTTTCTGTTCAGATATCAGGAACTTGCAAAATAAAATTTGCATGTATTTTTATTCTGAGTTTATCTCAACTGTCATGGAAAGGAGTATAAGTAATTTCAGGTGGTACTACTACATGTAATATGTATATTTTTATGTGTGTGATGCAGAAAAAAAAGATCTTAAGTATTGAGAAGTTAAAAAAACAATAGAAACTACAAATAAGCAAGCAGTAAAGTAGGACCATGCAAAGTTATATTTTTATGTGTGTTTTTTGCAGAAATATGATGAAAAGATTGCCCCAAAAACATGATGAGGTAGCTTTTTACCTTGTACAAAACCTAAAAAAATGATGATGGAGGTGATTTGTTGTTTTTATTTTATTGATTTAGCCAAAGCCTTGGAAGAGATGAGGGAGGGCCTGAGAACCAAGAAATTAATTTTTTATGGCCTAGAGATGAAACATTTTGAAAAGTGTAAAATATTTTATAGGATAAACTTTTGGAAATCAAAAGTGGAAAATGGGAGCATTTTAAATCAATTTTATCCCCATGATCAAATTGAAATATTTAATTTTTTCTTTGGGATTGTTCTGGACAACTAAGCTGATGGATAGATTCAGAAAAAGGTGAAAATTTATACCTTTGAATTTATTTCATCACATTGGAAGAATTGGATATTCACGTTATGAAAATATCCCAAACTTGTTAACTCGTCTCTTACCCCTCCCAATCACGACCGAAGTCTTGTCCAGCGGAAGATGTTTTTAATCTGATTACTCTAAACTGGTAATTAGAGAAAACATTTTTTACTTGTAAACAGGTATATACATGTAATATTAAGCTGATGTCTTAACACATCTATTTGCAACAAAATTGCAATGGCAAAATGCACAAAGAATGCTGATCAGAGGTAGAAACCTTTTGAGATGGAGTTTTATTTAAAGTAGAGCACCCCCTCGCAAGAGCTTAATTATAAATCAAGACCTTTTTTGACAACAATCGTGATGTAAATTATGTAACCTGCTTCGCACAAGGACAAATTAACACACACAAATGCATTACTACTGGGTATATCCCCTTCAACTCTGTTGTAAGGGGAGAATAAGTTGTAGACACAAGGTAACGATGCTTCTAGACCTGTTAGTAGAACCAGACATACAGAGGCATCAGCATGGGTGACTTGGGGAAGTGTCCTTTGGCTTTCAGAATAAAAGGTTAATATCTAAAGACAGGTGAACAAGGAGCTGTGCAACTCTTGACATACTAATTTTTTAACAGAGCGATTTGTGGTGACCAGTTGAAAAAGTCAAGAATCCAGGATGAAAAGGTAACATGGCTATAAAATCATGTAATCTAATTCTAAAGATTACTATTGTATTTATTGCACAATTTATATTCATTTGGTTTTCAACATGTTTGCAATTGGACAAAATCCCAAAATAATCGGCAAAAAAATACCCCAAACATTGAAGAGAGAAAGCTTATTTTGGGGTTTTGAGATTTATTCCTATTGTAAACATGTTAAATAAATAGACAATATTTTTAAAAAGTAATGATTGGGGGGGGGAGCACCAAAAATGTAAAATTAAATACATGTACAATGAATCTAATTACCAGTACTGCTTTTTGTATGTTTTGGACAATCGTCTAGGTCTGACATAGACACTGACTCACTGGATAAATACAATAGAAAAGTTTTTAAAATATGCGAAAGTACCAATAATATGTTTTCCCGGAAACTTTACGAGCTTGGTTTGAACATAACAAAAAAATGGCAGACGATGAAGTTGATGAAGTTGATGAATTAAGCAAGCTCTTCCAATTAGCAACAAATTTTGTTCGTTCATCTACTAGTAATTTTAATCAAGACCAATTACTCTACTTATATGCACGATTTAAGCAGGTAAACACTCGAGAGTTTAAATTTTTTCATTATTGTAGTTATGCATTGCATCTCGAATTTCCTCAAATCGACGTCAACGTGTACTTAACTTGTGGCAAATGTTAAATAGTCCAATTTATTTGTTTCATTTCTTAAAGCAGGGTGATATTAGAGTCTCGATATTAAATATATACAGCGCCACGAAATTTTGCATCTATAGTACAGTATCTAAACAGCCTTTGAAATTGTTAAACATCTAAAATAGCATTGATAAATCTGCAATTTAAATTATTATATAAGCAAAAAGCATTTCATTAAATGTAGATCTAACATGGTAACCAGAGTGTGGTTGCCAAATGTTAAAAAATCGTGCGCTGGATTAAAAAATAAATTGATATTTCTTTTAGGCTTTTTAAAAAATACACCTATGTAAACTGTAACACCTTTTATATGACAACAGATGGTTTTATTGAATATTGGGTTAGTATCAAGTACATATATAGTCATGACATTTTACAACAGTTTGATCTGTAGCGGACAGTAGATAAGTAAGTTACATAAATACTGCCTCACTAGTGAGCTCACTTTTCAAGTGATACAGTAGGGTATCCCTTATTTCAAGCAAGTATAATATTAGCAACAGCAAGCCTGTATAATCTTTGGATTGGTGACCGCTCAATGCTACAAAATTGGTGGCAAGCGTGTGATAACTCTGGTGTTTGACGACCTGCTTCAGGAAGTCTTAGAGCTAGGACTAGGACTTGGTTCCATTTACAGATTTAAAGTATCTGTGAACAGCAGGGATTGCCTTAATTGAAGAGGTTCTAGGTCTGCTTCAGGAAGCTCTAGGGCTAGGACTTTGTGTTCATGTACTGGCTTGGTGTCCAGGTGGCGACATTGGTTGCTGTAATTGAATAGGCCCAGACACTCAAAGAGGATTCATGCCAAGCTTCTCTGGGTGGTAGAAGTGTCATGGACATTATCCAGCGAATTTTCCCATAAAAATGATGCAAACCCTTGGTTATTCTGCTATTCCCCCTCAACCCTCTTGTAGGAGAAGGCGCCAAACTCCTTTCTTCTCTTTAAAAATATTGCAAACTTTTTCAATTCCTAGGGACAACCCTGGTGTATAGGTAATTAATGATGCATAGCTAATGAGCTAGATTTACTAGTGATGGAAAAGAGTCTCCCTTTATTTCACTTTTCAGGCAAGTTAAGTAACTACAAGTCTGTATAACTCTTGGATAGGTGACAACTACATCTTTCAGATCTACATACTGAACTACAGGCACCAGTTGATGTAGAATGTTCTAAATTGTTAAGTAAATTTTGATGTATATCAGAACTTTAATGATATAATTCGGTATATGTCTATTTGTTTTTTATTTAATATAGCATTAATCTACAGTTTAGTACCTGCAGATATGTAGCTTGTTGATTTGAAGAATTTAGGATGGACAACCAGAAAGCTACATGCAGTGCCCTGAAATGAAAAAGAAAATTATAATTTGAGCAAAAAAGCACACTTTTCTGCAAATTATTTCGAATTCCAAATTGAAACACACTCTTCACTAACTATTATACAAAAGTTTGAAAGAAAATATTCATAAATGACAATTTACATGTTTCAGAAGTGCTGTGTATTTCAAGGTTTCCAGAAGATTTAGTTCAATATTTTTTTCTTTTTTTAAATAGGCAAATGAAGGACCCTGCAATTCTCCTAAACCAGGGATGTTTGATTTCCAAGGGAAGAAAAAATGGTATTGTAAAGCCAAAAGAATTTTTTGTCTTACTTCATTTCTTGCTTTACTTGCTTGGCAAAATGCTTCTGACCAAAGTATGGCATCTTTTCTGTTGTGCCATCATAAAGATTAATAAGTATTAAAGCAGTAGATAAAGTTGGAGAATGTTTAACTTTATTCTCTACTTTGCATATGTTATATGCATATGGTTAGATAATGCATTACTCTTACATGTAGTACATGTACAGTGTATCTGAACTTGAGAATAAATGGCTTTTTTAAAACCATATATATTAAACAAGTATTTGTGTATTCCAGGGAGGCATGGAAAAGCTTGGGAAACAAAAATAAAGAAGAAGCAAAGAGGGAATACATATCAAAAGTTAAGACAGTGGTACCAGGATGGGATTTGGTAGGTTTGTTATGCAGCACTATATTTGTATAGAAGTGGGGTGAAGCAAACAAAGCACAATTAATGTCTAAAACATCCATTTTGTTCATACTGCAATATTGATGGATTGTCATCATTTATTATTAGTTGTTTGACAATTATAATTGTCTTATCAGGATCAAACTAAATGGGAACATTTCCATTTGTGTGTTAACCTGATTTTGGCTCTGAAAAGACTACAAGTATTAGAGTTTGTGTCTATTAAAATTGTGCCATTTATTAAAAATTATAATTTTTAAACTACAAAATTGCAAAAGTAAGCAATGAACATTGAATTATTTGAATATTGTGTGTTTGCATTGTTTAATGCATTTATGAATTAATTAATATTATTATACCTCATTATAAATATTCTAAACAACGCGTTATCTGATTGGTTCTAAGTTATCACGTGATCGGGCCCTAAAACTTCATATTTCCTGGCCGTCGGCATGCTTTTCATCATATTCCACCTCTTCAGAACACCTAGTGTATTTTCCCACAATATAGTTCTCGTTCATTGAACGAAAACTTCGAAGTAACGTCACAATAGCCTGGTTTACGTACAAAACTGATGACAATGTGTTGAACGAAGGGTTTTATATAACTTTACGTAAAAAATGAAAGTGACTTTGAGAGCGGTGCCGAAGTTGAAAGTTTATGTTTATTTCAAAGGTTTTAATTATTTGTATAATGTGTGTTTGCATTTGGAAACATGAAGAATGCATTCCCCCTCGGGCAAAGCCCTCGGGGAATATGATTTATAAAATATTTCCCTCACTATCATGCAATAAATGTATAATATACTCTGTTTGAATACAACAGGCAGATAAGAAACAGCAGGGTGATGGATGGGTAGCTGTCAGCACAATGTCCAATACAGAATCTGTGATAAAAGATGAGAACAAAACAGCTTTTGATTGGTGCAAGGAGGGTGACACTGCTCATCTTCTTCAGTATCTGAAGAAGTCTAAAACTGATGTTAATAATCAAGATGAAAATGTAAGCTAAACACAGATATGTTCCCTTTGTATAAGTGTAATTATATGCGATTGTTTCCTTCAACATCTTTGGTTTTTGACAGGGAATGACCCTTCTGCACTGGACATGTGATAGAGGAAATCTGGATATGTTGAATGCACTTCTTGGGCTTGATGCTGATCCAAATATACAGGTTTATGATGCATTTATTAGTTTAACTTCTTTGATGTCAGCAAATATATATTTTTTAAGGAAGCTCTAAACATAAATAGAATCTGCTTTTTGGACTTGGAGAAAAATGTATCATATAAAGGTGTGCATAATAAGACTTTTTCTTTCATTTATAACATAGGATACCTGCCATGTTTCCACAGGAAAAATGTTCAAAGACAATGAACTGTTTGTGAGCAGAAATGACTGCTGTTTACTTACATTGGGAAAAGTATTGAAAATAATGAATTCAATGACTTATTCTCGGTCTTGTGTAATGCTAAAAATATCTTAATCTACTGTAGACCTACTATTTTCCAAGGGGTCATCATTCGCGGAATCTCTATTTATATAATAGTGTTGTGTTTTGCGTGCACTATGCCTAAATTGTAGTCAGGGTTTGACACATGGTGCACAAGCCAGAGGCGAGTGCACTATGTGTCAAACCCTGACTACTATTTAGGCATAGTGCCACGCAAAACACAACACTATTGTTATTATTATGCTGACTGTTGTTACTGTATAAAAACGGCAATATTTTCTCCATTCATAATGTTTCATCACCTGTTGCATTCGTCTACTCTATTATGACGTCACCTTGTGCAACATGTACATCACAATCTTTTTCTTTAATTTTGAACGTTCCATGCTTTAGGTATAATCTACATATAGTTTTCGAGAGTAGTATTTGAGTGAAGGAAGGGGGGTTGAAAGAAACTATTTTAGGCCATATAAAATTGAAATCTTGGTTCTCAGGCCCGCGCGCATCCGTTTTGAGGTAGCCGCATTACCGATTTTATTGTATTTTTGATAAAATAAAAAGTTGGTATTGCGGAGACCAATCCGGGAAAAAAAATTCCGACCTCATTTGTTTCGTAGTTTAGTATTCAAATATCACTTTCGGTAGCCATTTACAATGAGATTTTCGCTACTTCGTTTGAAAATATACATTCGAGGACGTTACCTACAATGTTTACACGCTTTTAAGCAATGGATAAAGCAGAAATTTTGACCAGAAATGGAAAGTATATCTGTGATTAAAAAAATTATCTTTATGTTAAAGAAAATTCCGAAATTAAAATAAAAAAAAAATACCTCCCTCATCTACTTTATTGCCAATAAAATGAAAAATAAAATGCCGCCCTCCCGCATCTGTTTTGGAGAAAATTGGCCTGAAAACCAGGGAATTAAATTTAGATAGCCTTAGAAGAATTATTTTGTTTATTTTTAATCTTAAGTGTAAAATATTTGAAACTAAGTTTATATCTATCACAGTAGAACACTATAGATAACAGCGTCTGTGGCGTAATCGGTAGCGCGTCGGACTGAGAAACTCGGGGTCATGAGTTTGCTCCCCAGTATGGGCGCTGTCGGATTTTCTTCAAAAGTGGACGCCGTGCACTATTTCGGCATAGTATGCTTATGCTATGTAATTCCTTAGAACACTATGTGAGAATAGTAGGATATAGGTTATATAGAGACGAACTGACAGGAAGCATAATAATTCCCTTTAGTGCGCGAGTAGAAATTTATGTGGGATTTCTTGAACTCTCACTATATTCCTTACACATATTTTGAGTATGATGGGACAAATTTCCGCGGAGAAATTGTGATCGCATACATAGCGTAAATTAATACCACACAGAAAAAAAGTACTTCTACAGTATTACAAATTGTGTAATTCTGTATTAAATAACTATTTTTCAAATCTTACTTCTAAGGGCAGATCACTCTAACTGCATAAATCTACCCTATAAAAAGAGCTCTTTAGTGTGCGGTGTTTAGAGCTTCCTTAAATACATTTTTTTGTAAAGTGGAAGTAGGAGTTATAATGCATTATTGAAAAGTTCTGCAAGATTTGTTTAATAAAACTGCATTTGTTTTGTTTTAAATAGGACAGTGATGGACAGAGTGCACTTCATTATGGCAAGTAGCATCAATGTGTTTTAATTATTGGGAATATTTTAAACATTTTTGCTGCACATAATTGAAATATATTCTGTTTTATGAATAGAGTAGTTTTATTTTTTTCATTTATAAAATAATCATCTTCTATAAAGTTTTGATATGTAATTTTGACTAATTTTTTCCATTTCATTTTCTATAGCAATTGTGCCAGCACTTATTTGTTATATAGAGTAAAAATTTGTTCCTTTTGGTTTTCAACAGCTGTTAGTTGTGAGCACCAGGAGATTGTGGAGAGACTGCTGAAGACTAAGGTCAGTCTGGAGTTACAGGACGGGGATGGCCTTACAGTGAAGGACATAGAGACCAACTCAAGGATCAAGCAACTGTTAAACAAATGTGGAACTTGATTATGTATGTGTGAGCAATTCTTGAATGTTAACCAGAATGTGGAGAGAGGTTTCTAGTATACTAGAGAATTTAAGCCTAAGAACTCTATTTATTACAGGTAAACTTCGGTATCTTGACATCGGATATGTCGACAACCTGGGATATGTCGACGTCCGTCCGCGGTCCCGGCATTATTTACTATATAAATGATCTGCAAAAACTCTGATATGTCGACCTCGGTAATGTCGACTACCCCGCTTATCTCGACGTATTTCACAGTCCCAAGAGCAAAATTTACCTGGTATATGTCGACATCAGGGCAATTTTCTGCTCTACTTAACCTAATTGTTTGTCAGCCGGTCGCTCGTCACGCACTGACGACTCCGTGTATCTCGACGTCGTCAGAAATTCACACCTTTCACACCCATGATTTGCAATTGACTACATACTGATCTGTAGAAATGTGTTTCTAGAGGAATCCCAAGCCCCCTCGGCGTCCCTAATATGTTAATTGTTTAATATTCAGCTTGGGTAATATCATTGATAAATCTTGATTCTGCGTAAATGTACAAGCATTTATTTATGTCGAAATCTAACAAAACTTAAACATTTTATTTGAAAAAGTCACTGAATAACAATGAACAATATACACATTGAATTCAATTAAACTTAATAATTGTAAGAATGCATTCAACAGGAATCAATCAAAACAACGACATGCACGACTATTGCATCAGCCGTAATATGGATGCATATGTAACATCATGAAGTTTGTTAAATGCGCAATTCCAATTAAATTTTGGCTTGAAAATAAAATGAAAATTAATGATGAATTATTATAAAATAAAAAAGAAGTGAAATGAAATAATTTTAAAAATATACATTAATTTTTTTCCATATCTTCGGAAGTCGACTTTGTACCGTTCCGGTGTGGAGTTTATAGAGCGCATATCGTAGACAGAGCTAGTGGCACGAGAGAATGCTGGATGGAAAACGGTTTTTATTAAAATGAGATTTCGATAAAAAAGAAAGCATTTCATAAATAACATTTGCGAATATATAACTTCTTAGATTCTCTAATAAATAAATATAGAGGGATACCTGAAACAAACGAGCTACAGTCTTATTGAAGACATGTAGGTAGTAACATGTCTGTTCAGTTTAGATCTATGGTTTTACTATGTAGTAAAATTAAGGACGTCGAAACTCTGATAAAAACATTTCATATCTCGACATTTTCCGACTGTCCCGTCGATGTCGAGATAACGAAGTTTACCTGTAATTTATCAGTATTGGAGGCATAAAATTTACCTATGGTATTTGCATGTAAGAAATCAAATTGAGAAATGAATGTTTAATTAAACAAATAATTTTTATTATGCCCCCCTTCGAAGAATGGAGGGTATATTGCTTTGCTGCTGTCAGTTGGTCGGTCGGTCCACCATCAGTTTCCGTCCATTTGTTTTGCAGAAGTTGCACTTGTTGAAATGAAATTTGGTATACATATTAAGCATAAGAATAGCTTGGTCAAGTTCTGTTTTGGGTACAATCAGGCCATTTTAGACATAGTTATTCCCAATGGACGTAGAAAAATTCCAATTATTGGGGGGGGGGATAAGTGTTTTACAAACATCTCATGTTTACTAAACAATTTGTTAACAAAATCATTCTTTGGTTAAAAAAAGAAGTGTTTAAGGCATGTTATGCTTTTGTCATAAAAATATAATTGTACTTTTAATAGATACCAGAATTTCACATCTTTTTTCAAATGAAAATTTATATTGTAAGATGACTGATGTATACTTTTAATGAAATGGTGAAAGAATCCTAGTATTAAGATACTTTGAATTTATCAATTTTGCCTGGTTTAGATTTTTCAGATGTACACTGTATTTTCCTGGATGTGTTCTTTTAGTTCTATTTGCATTGTAAATACTGCATTTGTTATTAAGTGTGTTTATATTGATGTTTTGTGGTATATCAGTTTATACCAAAGAAAATCTCATTTTAGTTGAGTTTTATTTATTTCTGTTTTTTTCCCCTGAATTTTTAGAATGTTTTTTTTCTTGTTTTTTTTTTTTCAATTTTATGTACTTTTGTTCTTGCAAGGTTTTAATGACATGTATCTGAAATAACCTTATTTCTTGTTTGAACTGTATACTTTCCTATGAATCCAATGTAAAGATTCCACCTTCAATTTAGGTCACACTTACAAATAAGTCATAATTATATTGACTGCATTTATGATGCAATAAAACCCAGTTGTAGCAGTCATAGAAAATTTTGGATTTCCTTTGTAAAATCTTGCCAAATTCTTACAAGTAACAACTTAGCAAATTAATAAACGTGTATTATAAATTTACAATACAAGTACATTGTATATGTTTACTTCTTAGTATCACTGAATATGCTTTGAATTGTGAGAGTCTATGTACCGAAAACCTATGCCTATGATATTTTCACATTTTAAGACTTAAAGTGTTATAAAATAGAATTCATTACCAGCATAATATGTTTTCAGTAAAATGTTTTATTACTTTAGTAAAATGTTTAATTACTTTAGTAAAATGTTTAATGATGATTTCATGATAATGATTAAACATTCAAATAGAACGAGTTACAGTGTATGTTAAAAGTTCATAATATTGCATTGGAAAGATATATGAAAATTTACATGCATGTCTTCACTGTTTCACTGTCAGACACAAAGTCATTTTTGCATTTACTTATATTAAACTTATTATTTTTTTTGCGATCAAAATAGTTTTACATGTAAGAAATTGTAATATATATTAAAATAAAGAAAAAAAATGTGACTCCCAAAGTAATTTTAATGGCATTGTAATGCAGGACACTTTTGCATTTAATTTGTCTGTGTTAAAAAGATGTTTTATAACTTTATATTATTTTTTTTGTCAATACCAGTGACTATAAAATATCTTTTTTTTCATTTATTGCTCATGTAATCTTGAAACTGTTAATATATATTAAAATAAAATTTGGAAAATATATCACATCTTTGAATATCTAGGTGAAGTTCTGTTTTTCAAGATTTTTGAGTCAAACTGTAATTCTTATAAAAATTTAATGCAGTTTCCTTTACATTTTACATGAAATTTGATTTTTATCACATGAATTTTGTCTCTGCCATTTTTAAAAGTTAAAGCCATTTTCAATATTAAAAGATGTGTTTTGATCTTAATATGCCATCATATGCTCTTTTCATTGGTACATCAAAATAGTGTCACATTTCATCTTTTGAAAATTCCTGAAATCTCCCTTTGCCAATATTGTCCTTGTAATTTTTTTTTTTAATTTTACTATATTTTGGCTTTTTTTAGTAAAAAGTGGTTTTTTGTCAATTTGTTTATTATGAATGAAGCAGGATAAAAAAAAAAGCTTTTCAATTACACTCACACTAGGAGTTAATTGTGTATTTGTTTATTATGAATGAAGCAAGATGATAAGATTTACAAAACTGGGTTAATTTCATCCATCAATTATCGACAAATTCACTGCATGAATATTTGCTTCAAATTACTCCGTTTGGACAGAGAATTAATTTGTGCTGCTACCTTGACATGATCAACAATGTTATGTATAACTGCAAGCCAACTTTATTTTGATATTATATGAACAACAAATGAAGATGTGAAAATAAAAGCTTTATTTAGAATAGAGTATAGACAATAGTGCTGCCCTGTGAAAATAGTCTCAATTAACTAAAATTACAATGATCAATGGTTATAGGAAAAATCTAAAGATAAATATTTTTTGGGATTTGATAGATTTTAACTAACAATTCATATTATTTCTAGAAGATTATATATATAATATTGTAAAAATTTAACACATGATGCATACATCATATAACTCATTAACTGAACAAAGTAAATAGTGTTCTGATTGCATTGTTGAAAATGGAGAGATGCATATATTTTGTCTTATCTTTAATAGGCAATCCAAGGCACGATACAAAAGAGTCTTAAACATTTATGTGCTGCACCCACTCCCTGTGAACATGGAAATGCATGCAAAATAGAAGTGGAATTATTTAATAAGAAAGCTACAATGTATATATATGAAAATTTTCTGTTGAAAATGAAACAATACTATATAATGGTTGGAAAAAAGTGTTTCTTTAAAATTCTGAAAGTTGAGCAAAACAGTTTACTTCATAAATATATAGTAATTACCAAATAAATACATTTCATTATCATTCGCACTTTTACCCCAATGACTGATCAAATACAATTGAAAATAATGTCACATGTACAGGCATTTAAAAAAAATGGTCAAAATTTTAAACATGCTGTGAATGGCACTTCACTAAATTAAGCACATTAGCAGGTCGCGGACCTAAAAGCACACTCGTAAATCAGCACTAGGTACTTACATGTACATGTATGCGTATTTATATTTTGGCAGTAATCATGAATTGCACATTTTGAACAACATACAAAACATATAGTATGTGAAATTCTATTCAGTGCTTTAAAAAGAGGACAAAATACATACTTGGCATTATGTAAACTTTCTAAAACTGTCACAAGAAAATGGTAACCTGCTTACATCACACTTAAAAGTTAAAAAAAGGTGTTTAAAATACATCAATGCAGCTTTTTTTGAATGTTATGATATGATTCATACAAGTACACTACAATAACTTGGAATACACTACAAATATTAAGATGTGAACTAACAATGACAAAAAAATACAACAACCACTCATAAAAGAGTTTTACAACAAGACCAATGGCCACTATAACTAGAATTTAAATACCAGAGTTCATTTGGTTCAGTTACTAGTAAGTCAAATATATGTGAAGAAATGAATGTCTGTTGAATAATAAGATGCATTATGGAGATTTGGAGTATACAGGCCAAAAGCAAATTGAAAATTAAATACAAATACCTCTTAGAAAATTTTCATTAAATGAAAAGCATGCAGTGAGAAGCTTTCTGTGAAATAACATTTTGATTTTGAGAAACATAATTCTTTAAGCTTTACAGAATCTACAGGCTAAATTTTAATTTTTTTTTTGGTCGGTTGTGTAGACTATTTAATCTTCTTTTGCATAGGAGAGTTCTCTCTTGAAGTTCTGTACCATGGTTTTTATCTCACACCCGACAAAGTCATTCACTGCAGCCAGAAGGACAATTAGCATTCCGTAGATATGCCACTGAGAGAATATGTCAGAGAACAGCTGACATAACAACATGGTCAGGAAAAACAATCCATTTGCCTGAAACAAAAAAAAAAAAACATGAGGAGTATTAATTAAATGACACAGTGACAATCAGAATAGATGACCACTTTTCAGGTTATCTGAAGAATGAAGATCAGATTCAAATCCCTGTTTGTACCACAGCTATTGTATTACAGGTGTTTTCAAAGCTCTCGTACAAATTCCAAGCTGTAAATTTAATAAATTTCTTCGTAGGTAGAATGGAATATAATGGCTCATATTCGTTTAAGACCTGAAAGTTTCTTTACCTATAACAATTATGATGATCAATACAATTCACTGACTTTCACGCACCTTTGAACTTGGTGACAATAATTGTCACCAAGTTCAAAGGTGCGTGAAAGTCAGTCAATACATTGGGTCTCGATAGCTCGGTTGTTAATGCGCTGGTACGGTACGCCTCAAGGGAGGCTCAAGGTTCGAGTCCCATTGAGGCTTATTTTTTCACCACCTGTGACCTACTTATGCAGCAAACACGTTTATTATAATGAACCTATTTAATTCAAGAGAAAAACAACTCACCAAGCCATGACCAAGAAGCAGCGATTTCTTGTCTTCCTCATTGTGGCTGTTGTTAGCTCTTCCAGATGATATTGCGAGAGCTATAAATCCAGCTCCCATGACTCGTGCCATGTATCTATGCAGATTGTCCAGGGAATTCAGTTTTGTCTTTAAAATCATTTAAAAAAATAATTATATTTTTCCCCTAATAACAGTTTATTGTGAGCATTAAAAGAATGTGTTACTTGAGCTCCAAAATATTACAACAGGAACACGACATTCAAAAAATTAATTTTCCGTTGAAATTATTTTTTCTCCAAAAAGATTGTTTTCTTTCTTTAAAATCTAAATTTCATACCTGGAATGTAGCAATAGTGTCAGGAAAGCAGTATGCAATGATCCCAGTCATGAAGAACATGATGAAGTCTATCCGGAGATGAAGGTGGGTTTTGGACGTTAGTTGTTCTGTACTTCCTCCCCAGTCATCCTCACACAAGGAGTAATAAAGAAAAGCCACAAAATACAGCCCAGTCATCAACACGGCAAGCTTCTCAACCTGAGGGGGAAAATGTACAGGTTTCTTGTTATTAAATGCTTCCAAAAATTGTGTTGGCATTGTCTCTATGATGTTTCGATTTTTTAGGTTGCATAGGATTCTTCTATTTATCTATCAAAGATGCTCTTAGAGAATTCAAGATGCTCTTATTTAATCTATTCTTATTGTACTCTTTTTAAATTTGTGTGTAATATAGTTGTTTTTTTTGGTCATCATCATTGTCATGTGAAAAAAGTTCAAATTAATTTTTAAACAATACTTACATACAGAGATAATTTTTCTTTCATGCTTTCATAATTTATCAGCCGTACAACATTGAGGAGGAAAAGTGCTCCCAGGAACTTGAAACAAGAAAGAAAGAATTTGACCTTTATCATTTGTATATCTTCTCTATTATGATATACCATATATACTCACCTACAAGTCGGTCCGCCTATAGCTCAGTTGTATTTCTTTTAGGTTATTTTGCAGGGATTTGCCATATTTTGACCCGCTTATAAGTCTGTACAACTTTTTAAACTTCAAATTAATGAAGAAATAGATAATGCCCTCTCGAGGTTAAAAAACAAAATATTTTAATACATGTACTATATAAATACTTGTAATCAATGTATACTCTTAGAATAAACCAGAAGTCTCTGTCGAGACTGTAGCTCTACTGGTATGTACTTATCAAAAACCATTGCACTATTTTATGTATCTTTGTGTAGTCTACTTGTGTGCCAACTTATTTTGAAATCAAACTAGAACTGTAGAAGGAGTAGCGTTTTAAAGGAATTTCACAGAAAATTCTATTTTTAGTAACCATGGCAACACCGTTCATCGAAATTAGAAACCGATGCACTATTCTATGTATCTTAGGGTAGTCTACTTGTGTGCCAAGTTATACTGAAATCAGACCAAAACTGTAGAAGGAATAGCGTTTTTAAAGAATTTCACAGAAAATTCTATTTTTAGTAACCATGGCAACATCCTTCATCGAAATTAGAAACCGATGCACTATTCTATGTATCTTAGTATAGTCTACTTGTGTGCCAAGTTATATTGAAATCAGACCAAAACTGTAGAAGAAGTAGCGTTTTTAAGGAATTTCACAGAAAATTCTATTTTTAGTAACCATGGCAACATCCTTCATCGAAATTAAAAACCGATGCACTATTCTATGTATCTTAGTGTAGTCTACTTGTGTGCCAAGTTATATTGAAATCAAACTAGAACTGTAGAAGGAGTAGCGTTTTTAAGGAATTTCACAGAAAATTCTATTTTTAGTAACCATGGCAACACCGTTCATCGAAATCAAAAACCGATGCACTATTCTATGTATCTTAGTGTAGTCTACTTGTGTGCCAAGTTATATTGAAATCAGACCAAAACTGTAGAAGGAGTAGCGTTTTAAAGGAATTTCACAGAAAATTCTATTTTTAGTAACCATGGCAACACCGTTCATCGAAATCAAAAACCGATGCACTATTCTATGTATCTTAGTGTAGTCTACTTGTGTGCCAAGTTATAATGAAATCAAACCAAAACTGTGGAAGAAGTAGCGTTTTAAAGGAATTTCACAGAAAATTCTATTTTTAGTAACCATGGCAACACCGTTCATCGAAATCAAAAACAGATGCACTATTCTATGTATCTTAGTGTAGTCTACTTGTGTGCCAAGTTATATTGAAATCAGACCAAAACTGTGGAAGGAGTAGCGTTTTAAAGGAATTTCACAAAAAATTCTATTTTTAGTAACCATGGCAACACCGTTCATCAAAATTAAAAACCCATGCACTATTCTATGTATCTTAGTGTAGTCTACTTGTGTGCCAAGTTAAATTGAAATCAGACTAAAATTGTAGGAGGAGTAGCGTTTTGAAAAATTGTTTACAGACAGACGGACAGACAGACGGACAGACAGACAGACAGACAGACAGACGGACGGACGCCGGACGCATTACTATCGCATAAGCTCTTCTGGTCTCTGACCAGTAGAGCTAAAAATTGACATATTAAATCCAGACCAAGTTCACCGATAACTGTTGAAAATATTTATAAAGAATATTGCATTTCGCTGTCCAGACAATTGGTCAAATACTAGTCTAACTCTTTTATGACTCGTCTGTAAGTCAGACATAGACTTTTGGACTAAAATTTAACTTCCATAAAACCGACTTATAGGCAAGTATATATGGTATTCAATTTAAAATTATTAATTAAAAGGTTTATTTCTCACATACATACCCCTGGTATTAGATAATGAATGATTTCATAATGTGAATGGTACCTACCAGAGTCCTTGACCAAAGCAAGCTGATTTCCATGGTTCGATCATTGTTTTTACGTGTCATAAAATGAGTAAATGCTAGAGCCATCAAGATTATCCCAATATCACGAATTTCCTGCAAGTGTAAGCCATCTGCATGTCCTTTTTGAAACTGACAATAAAAAAAGTGCAACCAATGATAATACAATATATGAACATCTTTGATGAAAAAGGATCAACATGCTCAAGTCGTACATGTTAATGCAGGTAGACAATATATAAATATTGCATGTAGTTGAGTGTAACATTGAAAATCACCCCAAGAAAACCATTGTCAACCGAGGCGCAGCCAAGGTTGACAATGGTTTTCTTGGTGTGAAAATTTTCAATGTTACACTCAACTACATGCAATATTTTTTTGTATTATACTGAATGTTTTATACAAATACATATTACAGTGAACCGTGTGCGCATAAATTCCGCGCAGTCGCTATTTTTTGGAATACCACCCCTCGTCAAGCAATGTTGACTGTTTCTACGCAGTATGCTTCATTATTCAGCAGGTAGTAGTGTTTTTTATCAAATGTTTCTCAACGAATCAGATTAAGGTAATTTACATAAAAGTATAATATTGTTTATTGTAAAAGTGTCCAGGGAATGTATGTAAACCGTTTCATCAATTGATAGTTATTACAATGGGCTTTAAATGAGGATCTTGTCTGAGCTGTGATTAACATAGAAAAAATTCAATTCCCTGGCACCCAAATGAATTTCAATATAAATTATCATGGGCAATTTAAACACTGTACATTAATTTATCAGTTTATGATGCTAATGAAATTTTATTAAAGTCAAGTAATTGGCACTTGTATATTGTGCTACTATTCTCTTTAGAGAAGTGGACATGCTTTCGCCTACATCCACAGGCAAAAGGCTGTCCACTTCTCTAATGAGAATAATTGTGCTACATGCATGATAATATGATAAAAATATCAAAGTTTCAAATAGCTGCTTACCCAGAAATTTATAGCTTCTGGATAGAGGAGTGCTCCAAATCCCTTGACAGCAAATATTAGCGAGGTGATTTCCATTAGAGTTTTCCTACCCCATGGGACAGTAACTGTAAACACAAGCAATGAAGCCGGCAGGATCAGCTGCATAGCAGTGTTATCTGGAATACTAAGCAATTCCTTTATGTTCTTTAAAACAAACGCCATGGTTTGATTTTGCACCGAGCTATGCAGCTACGCCGTATTGTTTACAAGAACGGAAATACCGCGCGTAAATGTGTGACCTATTTTCCCCAAACGCGTTGTTGAAATCGTCATCAATCATTGTGTGGAATGTGGGTAAAATGAGGACCGGGGAAAGAACTGGGTTAAGTAGGCCTAGCCGCAAAGTTTAGTAAGATATAAATATCCAAGGGAGAGCGGATCGGAGACTCTTGGCTAGCGAAGTGTTATTTGTGTACACACTTATTACGAAAGTTCTGCGAATTGTATTGTTTATTTTCTTTTTAAAAAGTATTTATTTCTTTTCATGAATACAAGAACACTCTTATTAGGTAATATCTTTTATATATAAATGTTTGGCTCTCTGTAAAATTGAATTTATAGTTTTATTTATTTATTTATTTATTTTTTTATTTATTTATTTATTTATTTATTTATTTATTTATTTTTATTTATTTATTTATTTTAATTTGATGTTATCAACTTGAGATTGCCTGTCATTCTTCAAGTGAAAATAAAAATGCTCTTACTGTTAAAAAAATTAAAAATATTCATCAAGTTATAAGAAATAAAAACACTTCATTGAAACTATACCAGATTATACTGAGCACGTAAAAAGAGGTTTGGCTGTTTTTCACTGTTTTTTGTACTAGCTCGATCCTGTCAAGAGCAAAAATTTTGGAGATCCTGCTCAATTATACATAGCTACCATGGTTACCTGTATATAGTATACTAATGTTGTGCCGAGGAACATGGTTATCATTTACAGGTTAAAGAATAATGTTCAAAACATGGCCCCTTGAAGGTACCAATATTTCTTAAAATCATGGACATATATATATATATATACGTCCCTGCTAAAATATATAACTTAATCAAAATATACATTAAAACTTTTAAATAAAAAATTCACTCTTCATAAACTGTAAAAATACGCAGCCCACTTATAAAATCAATATGCGGTAGCGCAACTTTTAATGAAACCACGTGACACCCACTTCCGCCATTTTTAGTTGTAAGACGCAGGACCCCGAAGGTAATTTATGCAACAACTATGAAGAAAGAAGGACTTGGGTAGCAATACTTTGTATTCTGATGCGTTCTACAGTAAGTGATTTTGTAGGCTGTCGATCGCATGTAGATCCTAGATGTGATATTGTGACCTCGAGTTTGCCAGCGCTACTCGCTGTGTGTAAATCGAGACTCGTATCACATATCTACTTGCATGCTTATGCCACAGTTTAAAAAAAGTATCAATTATTATAGAAAATAAATGAGTTTGACAGTTTGACAAAGAAAATATAAGAACGGAAAGGTTGATTTTATTAATAAGTTATATGTGTGATGCTGTTTTACATTATTATACAAGTAAATATTTAGTACGTAACACTACGAATTTTTATCATGTTTATACAAGCTAAAAACGACTGAACAAACTCAAAGGGGAAAGAAAGAAAATTGCTTGTATAATATACTAAGCAAACTTCTTTTACTAATACAAAAAAGGATAAACGTTGAAAACTCAAGCGTTAAAAGATGTCGATTTAAAGAATTCCATTAATCTAGCATAACAAAGCAGAGGAAGAGCGTGTGTGTATAGTAATCGACAATGTGTGAATGTATGTAACGATACCTGCTGGAGAGTAATGGGAGGAAATTGTCTGTGAGAAGACAAGGTATTTGCTTCCCAAAGAAGGAAAGACGAAAGTACAGATCAAAATGATTTGCAACAAACACAGTGTGTATGAGTAAGGGATAGTTGCAGCAATCTATGTAAACTGTCGGAGTGAACTGATTAATCAACGGTTTTTAATGTTCACAGTTCTAAATAAAATAATTGAAATATTGATTAATTTTTTCCTTCTCAATAAATATTGCATGAATTGTCTAAGGAAATCGACTGATTCAGCAGAGCGGGAAACAGTTCAAGGTTTGATAAGTTTTGTTCTATGAAACAAACTTTAAATTGTAATGCTATAAATATAACAATGACAATAAAGTTGGAAAAAAGTCATACAAAAAGTTATAAAGTTTAATTATTTTAAATTTACAATAAAACATTAAATGATACCCTTCTATAGAGCAATATAGCAATCTTGCATTGCAAGTAGAAGGGTAAAAATTTTACGATTTAAATATCAAAGAATTTTTAATTCTGATACAAATTTTACGATTTTTACTATCTAAGATTGTGGTTTAGGAAAAATTGAAAAGAGATTAAGGGAAATAAATATTTTATAAACATGGAAGTAAAGAAAGTAAATGTGTTTGTACAAGGAAGTGACTGTAAAGACATAGTGATTTAAAGACGAGAAAAAAAATCACTTACTTACATAAATAATCTACTAGACTCGCTCTATATAAAGTACCTGAAACGAAGAAAGGTGATTCAGCAAGGGAGTATTAAATCCCAATTAAAGTATACATGTAATTGAAATTTCGGATACGTTAAATTAAGATTTCTTTTCGCTGTTTTACGGACTTTACTCCGGAAGTGTCTAATACTTCGGCATCGCGATTCGTTAGAGAAGCAACATGCTTTTTCGATTAACAACATGTTTTTTAATTGTTGGACAAGAGCTTATCGTATTTAAATATTCAATACCTACGACAAACATCTCCAATCCGAGCTTTTTGCGATGTAACCCTCCTAGTCCTAGGTCTGACTTGACTAGGAGTCAAAATCTCCAAGTTTCATATTCCTATAGAAATAAAACGAGGAGTTCCCAGTGGGGGTGCCACCAATAATTTTACAAAATATACCAAACTCTAAAAAAAACGAAGTGCTGAAAACGGATTTCCCCCTCTTGTAAGAGATTTTACGCAAAGCACGATTGATTGATTTATATGACCTTCGACTTGGTCATTATTTTACAAATGGCTTATTTTTTTTTAAGTAGGTCAAATATTTTATGTCATTTATTGAAATTTAAATGTGTTGATCACGTACATCTTGTCAACATTTACAGAGAAAATGGACATGATGTTTTAAAAGACAGGGGCATAGTCAGGGTACTTTTGACGTGTGACGCCCGAGTATGAGGTTTTGGGGGTCACCTTAAAGCCCCCAATGGGTCCAGGGCAAAGCCCAGGTGGGGGCCCAGGGGGTGAAGCCCCCGGAAGCTAGTGAATTTTAGACGATTTTGATGTGCATATTCGACCCTCCTGATCGCATTTATTTTTTTCTTAAACCTAATAAGTTTGTTACGCAGTTATATTCGATTTTATACAAAATGCCAACAAACACTCCTTGGGTGAAGGGGAAATATGAAGGGCCACGCCCTCAAAGGGGGATGGGAATTAATGAAAATTTGGTGGCATATTTTAAAAATCTTCTTCTCAAGAACCACTGTGCCAGGAAAGATGAAACTTATGGAGAAACATCCTTAGGTAGTATAGATTCAAGTTTGTTCAAATCATGACCCCCGGGGGTAGGGCGGGGCCAAAATGGCCGACCAAAGTTTTACATAGAAATATATAGGAAAATTCTTTAAAAATCTTCTTCTCAAGAATGACAAAGCCATAATTCATCATATTTATATGGGAGCATCTCAGGTAGTGTAGATTCAAGTTTGTTCAAATCATGACCCCCGGGGGTAGGGCGGGGCCAAAATGGAAAGTTTTACATAGAAATATATAGGAAAATTCTTTAAAAATTTGACAAAGCCATAATTCATCATATATATATGGAAGCATGCTCAGATAGTGTTGATTCAAGTTTGTTCAAATCATGACCCCCGGGGGTAGGGCAGGGCCAAAATGGCCGACCAAAATTTTACATAGAGATATATAGGAAAATTCTTTAAAAATCTCAAGAATGACAAAGCCATAATTCATCATATATATATATGGAAGCATGCTCAGGTAGTGTAGTTTCAATATGACCCCCGGGGGTAGGGCGGGGCCAAAACGGCAGACCAAAGTTTTACATAGAAATATATAGGAAAATTCTTTAAAAATCTTCTTCTCAAGAATGACAAAGCCATAATTCATCATATTTATATGGAATCATGCTCAGGTAGTGTAGATTCAAATTTGTTCAAATCATGACCCCCGGGGGTAGGGCGGGGCCAAAATGGCTGACCAAAGTTTTACATAGAAATATATAGGAAAATTCTTTAAACATCTTCTTCTCAAGAATGACAAAGCCATAATTCATCATATTTATATGGAGCATGCTCATCAAATTTTTGGTGGCCAAAATGGCCGACCAAAGTTTTTAAAGATATATATAGGAAAATTCTTTAAAAATCATAAAAATAGCAAAGCTTATTGGTCATGGGACTGCTTTTGGATTTAAACTTTATAAAAAGCCATTTTCTACTTTTTCTACCCTTAGTGCTCAGGTGAGTGATGTCAATTAAACCTAATAAGTTTGTTACGCAGTTATATTCGATTTTATACAAAATGCCAACAAACACTCAAATATGAGAAAGGATCTGTTCAATATCTCTGTATGTCACTGGAAAGTCGATATTAAGTTGTTATTTAAAAAACTCGGCAATATTATTGAAAAGTAAACCAAATTCCGGGAAAATCTAATGATTTCAGAGAGGTGCATATCCTATCGTATTTATGCGCCGGGATCGATAGATCGGGGGCGTCCTGTCTGTCTGTCTGTCTGTCTGTCTGTTTTAACCTTCGCCATAACTTTTAAACCGTGAGAGATAGAGACTTCATATTTGGTATGCCCTAGTCACTAATTAAGCTATTTCAAATGTCCCCAATTTCAATGACCTTGTGACTTTTACTGTGACCTATATGCTAAAAATAGCTTTTTCGAACTTTCGCCGTAATTTTTGAACCATAGGAGAGAGAGCCTTCATATTTGGTATGCATACTCCACTAAGTTCTTTAAAAAAAACAAGGTCAATGACCTTGTGACCTTGAATGTGACCTAAAATGCTGTGATGCTAAAAATACCTTTTTCGAACTTTGTTCCCGCCGGATGCATAGTGTTTCACAAGCACATCTTGTTTCCCTTAAAACTGATCCTGTTAATTTTCATTTATTTTTTATCATATAATTCAAGTAAAACACCGCTCGGAGACATACTGGGTCAGCAAGTTAACGAGAGGGTAAACGACAATTGCCAGTCCAGAGCTACCGCTTTTTTGTATATCTTTGAAGCAATTACTGTGGTTTTTTCTTTTTTGAAAAATCGATTTTTTAAAACTTGATGGATTGAAATTAATCAAATTTTCAAACAATTCTCAAAATAATATCGCGCCGGAGCATATATGTAGTGTTAACGTTTTTCATGTCCGTCCTTACATATTTCCTTCCTCCACACTTTTCGCTCAGTTTTCGCTTAGCTCAGTTTCAAAGACAGTCATGATATTCCAAGATTTTTTAAATCAAGCTTCATATGCCGATGCATAGTGATGGGGGCTATTCAATTGCATCAATATTTTTGACAGTGACTTGAATTTCCCTTTGACCTTGACCTCATTTTTCTCTAATAAGTATTCAGCTCAGTTTCAAAGAAATTGTTCAAAATATTTTTTTTCCGAACCTTTCATGATGATACATACTGATGAGAACTATTCAACTTCTTCAACAATTTTGATCAATGGATCTTGATATTTCTTTTAACCTTGACTTTAGATGTTTTTAATCAAAGTTTATATGCCTATTCATATTGACGAAAGTAGTCTGGTGTCCTTGCGCGAACGGTATTGTGGGAAGGATACCTAATGATTATAGCTTAGTTTCAATAAGATTATTCAAGCCATTTCAATCAAATCTAACAGGATAATATATGCATAATGGTAAGAGATAATCAACTGCCTCAACATTTTTTTAATTTGACCTTTCCTGTAATATTGACTTAAAATTTTGTGGTCTTTATGTCGCGGGTTCGAATTTAACTGTGGGACGTGGAGACCGGTCCTTCAGATGAAACTTTATAAACTGAGGTCCCGTATCGCAGTCGGTGCTGGCACGAAAAAAGATTCCTTACTGCTCAATGGCCCGAGTCCCCATCAAAGGTCAAAATTTGCGGCTCTCCACCTGCAATGATGGCATCTCCTTATGAGTGATAAATTCTCGAGAGGGATGTTAAACAACATACACTCTGTCAATCAAATATTTTTATGAGAAAGCTATTCAACTCGATATGCTTATATTTATTGATGAAAGGTTTTCAACTGTTTGAATATTTATGTCCTTTTTTCTTTGACCTTGGCGTCACGTTTCTCAAATTTGTGTTCAGTTGCTCAGTTTCAAAGAAAGTATTCAAAATACTTTTTTACGCAAGCTTATGCAATGAAACATTATTTTATAATTATTTACTAAATGGAGCCATCTTTTTAAAATAAAATTGCTTGGTTGCCCTCTCCCAACCGACTGACTAAAAATGGGATCAAAACTGTTCACATTCCAGGACAGGATATTTTCACCTGAGTAAACTTAGGTGACCTATTGCTATCCGTTTTCGTCTGTCGTCGTGCGGTGTACGTCGTGCGTCGTGTGTTAACATTTGAACATTTTCAGCTTCTTCTCTTTAACCGCTTAACCAATTTCAACCAATTTTGGCATAAAGCTTCTATGGGTGAAGGGGAACAAAAATTATGAATTTCATGGTCCCTGCCCCCCCCCCCCCCCCTGGGGCCTGAGGGGTGGGGCCAAAACCACTAAAATTAGTGCAATCTTAAAAAATCTTCTTGACTCCTGGACATCAAGCAGTCAAACTGTTGGTATGATTGTAATCAGCATTGAGTCATCTATTGAAATTGTGAAATTCATGGCCCCAGGGTCAGGGGTTCTAGTGCTAGGGTGGGGCTATATTGATTATATAGTGAACATGCATTATTTCTTTGAAAATCTTCTTCTCTGCTCCTGGGTATTAAATAAACTAACTAAGTACATAGTTATGATGAACAAGAGTGCCTCTACCAAAATTGTGAATTTTATACCCCCAGGGTCAGGGGTTCTGGTGTTAGGGTGGGGCCTCTATTAATTATATAGTGAAAATGCATTAATTCTTTGAAAATCTTCTCGCTTCTTAGCAATTGCAAAGTGTATAGTTATCATTAACAATGGTGCCTCTTTCAAAATTGTGAATGCCATAGCATCTAGCTTAAAACGTGAACCAAATTCAATCATTTGAAAGTTGTTGCATGATGCTCAGGTGACCTATTAGGCCCTTGGGCCTCTTGTTCTTTTATCCCGTCAACAAATATGTTGAGATTTTTTGGAAGATTTTCCCACCTACCAACCGACCCAATAATTTTACCGTAAATCAGAAGAGGGCAAGAAGACATTATTTTAAAGATGGCCTGTGTCCATTTTTTAAAACCTAGACCTTCTCAATGTACTTTGAACAAATTTACAGTTAAAACAAGTGTTGCTTATTAAAAATCTTGATTTTGTGATTCATAATTTCCCTTGCAAAGATTTCCTTACTTTATCATTTGACATTTATTAACAGGGCCATTGATTTTTATTTTCACTGATATTTTCAAGTCACTGAAAACTTCTTTGAAGAAAACTGATGTCTTGATTTGCGAGGAATAAAAACGAGAGGCCCATGGGCCATAATGTTCACCCGAGTAACATTAGCCCTTGTGTTCTTTATTAGCAGATTTTCACCAAATGTATTCCTTTGTAAAATTACGATAATATGTCTAGACCCCACCATACCTCCAGGCGTCATATTAAATTTGCACAAAATTGAATCTGAGGATGCTTCCATACTATTACATGAATAATCATGGCGTTGGTGTTCTAAGAAGAGGGCTTTAAAAGATTTTCCTTAAATAATATTATGTTAGATTTTAATTGGTCAGTGTGTCCCCCATCCTACCCGTGGGGTCATGATTTGAACAAATCAGAAGCTATACACTGCCTGAAGATGTTCAGTATAAAAATGACTATAAAATGTACACTCCCCTGTTCTTGAGAAGATGATTTTTAAAGATTTTTAATGTGTGTTCATATGCAAAACTTTGACCCCCCTACAGTGACCCCACCCTATTCCCAGGGTCACGATTTAGACAAAATTGAATCTACACTATAATTTTTTTTTTCATATTTCCATCTTAATATCATGCTCTGGCTATTCTTTAGTAGAAGCATTTTGAATGATCCCCCCCCCCCATGTACTAGCATCAGTAAACTTTGATCACCAATAGTAGCTCACCCTACCCCACAAGAGTCATGATTTGAACAAACCTCATACCCGAGGATGCCTTCATATAAATACATGTATAACTTGTCAACAATCAAACAGTTATTCAGTGAGAAAGAAAAGGAGATCAGTTATAGCTAGTTTATTTTAATGCAATATGGAAAAAAAATTATTCTCTGAATGAAAAAGGGTGTTTACAAGTTTGAAATGTTCTCTTATTATTCAAAAATATGTAAATTTGTCAAAGTGTAGATGAAAGTTTCATTTGCTTATTATTCCGAGAAAGTTGGCAAAATCAGTACACAAAAGTACTTACATGCTTAGTATCTTATGGAATCACCTCAACAGATTTGATTTACTGTATATACATGTTCCAGATATTCCCACTTTTGGGGGGAAATATTCGAACCCAGTCCCAATCAATAGGGGTGATGTAGTTCAAAGTTGGATTTGTTTCAGAGTCGGGTTATTGTTTTATTTCATAGACTCAGTAAGAAAATTAAATCGTAGCTAGCACTCCGCGGTTGCTTATTCCTTCTTTTATCTTAATATTTTCCCCAAAGTACTCTAGATAATAAATGCTTGTTATGTTATTATCGATTAAATACAAGAAATAATTTCAAATAAAGCACAATTCTGAAATGATAATTTAAGTGAAGAAATTTAAAGTTGTGTTTCTTCAGCTATATGGGAAAATAACGATTTGAAATTAGTGCATCTAAACATAATGTTTAATGTTTTTATTTTCGATCGAAAAAAGTTTCAATATTTGTTATTTAGGCGTACAAAATAAATTCTTTAAAATTATTTAAAAAATGAAGTTGCATAACTTGTAAATTACATATTGTTTGTGTCAGGTAACTCGTTTATGGGGACAATTTTTGAAAATGATTATTTTTTTTTTTCGCGTTTGCTTTAAAATTAGTAGACCAAAAATCAATTTGGCTTATTCTGAAAATGAAGGATACTTCAAATTCTTGGGTCGTTCATTTCTCTGTTTGCGTGGATTCGTTTCCGAAACATATCTGTAATTAGCTTTTGAGCATTTGCAATTTAATAACTTTAAAAAAGCAATTATATTAATAAAGAAGACCCCCCCCCCTTTATTTTGAGGTTAAAAGGTGGGGATAAGAAAATCATACATTATATCTGTGTTAAACACTTGTTTCCACCAGATATGAAGGTAGTATTTCAAAAGCGCCGTAATTTTAAAATTTCATTTATAATGTTTGTTTTTTTTTAATATTACTTCCCTAGTTTTTTTCTGAGATCTAAAGAAAACCTTTTTTGGATTTTTAATTAAAACATCGAAGATTGTCTGAAATTTATAATTCTGAGAATGTGTCTATATCACTTTCGTTTCTGGACCCCATCTCAAAAAGCCATTGGTCGCGTGGTGCATTGATTAGAGCGTTTGCTCTAGAGTCGCGAAGTAAGGAGGTGATCCTTTTGTTTTGGGGTTCGAATCGCACGTAAAACCGGTCCTACGGATGAGACAATGTAAACTGAGGCCCCGTGTCGTAGTAGGTGCGTCACGAAAAAGATCCACCATGCACTGCTTACTGGCCCTCTGTGCCGAGAATAGTTTTAAATATTGCAGCACTCCACCTGCAAATGGCGTCTTCATATAAGTACAAATTTTGAGATGGATGTTAAGCAACAAACCATCACATCAAATAAAAAGCTTTAGAACTGCCATGGTATTTCATAGATCAAAAGCTCAAAAAGCAGGATCGGACTAGTTTTCTGATGATATGATTGTTATCTATAAAAGCCCTTTGAAATGAAATGTTTATACACAACAAGATTGCCACTTTTCCTATATATTAAGAGTAAAAGTAAAATTTGTGAGAGTGCAAGGTTGTGTCAATCAAACCCATCCAAAAATTTGAAGTTTCAATAACTTTAAGATGAAATAAAATTTTTAATATATTTTTGTGTGAAACGCTATTAAAATATATATGTCGTGATATTGTACAGAAAATGTTAACTTCAAATCTGTGTCCATGCACCTTTAAAAAACATCAGCACCTGCATCATTTATATGTACTCTTTTATGTATATTTCAGAGGACTTTTAGAACAGTAGAGAATGACTGACACCCAAGGACAGGGAAAGGCAGCGCCTGCCCTGCCAAAAATTAAGAAACAGAGTAACAAAGGTAAAGTTGTCCGTATTGGCATGAATACAGAATTATCGATTCGAATTAATTGGTGTGCAGTGTTGAATTCCCGAAACATTACAGTATGAGCTATGACTTGATGTCGGGAATTTTTCAATATAGATTTAGATTTGTTTATGTTTTGATTTTGTACTTATAGTAGTTCCGTAGACAGCTCTAATAACAAGATTTTCACATATTTAGATATTCCCGCCCCCAAACACTTTAAAATCACGATTATGAAATTTTCACGTACTTGCTTTACTTTTTGACCAAAGTAAATATTCTTTGCCTTTCCTTTATTTAAGGTGGTTTGCGAAATGTGGAAAATAACAGCAGAGATGCACAGGAAGTGAAACTAACAATAGAGCGATCGAATCTGGACTTAACGTACGCCTCTCCATGGAGTCCCAAAACAATCCAGATGGTTGTCAACAAGGAGCTGGAATCTCAGTACAGGTATGATCAGAATCAAACTAGTATGCTAATGACAACTGGCACTCCATCGTCGGAAACCATCGCCTAGTTACGCTTCGTTCCTATCTCCATCACGGAGAGGAAGGAAGCGTAATCAGCCGTGGGTTTCCAACGATGCTGGCACTCTTACATGTTAGATTATGTGATTTTATTTAATGACGGATGTTTTTACAGGGAAAAGAAGACAGCCATGAAGGAAGAAGGACGGCCCGCCAGGGAGCTTCAGGACCACTTTGCATTTATTTTGGTGAAAGATCCAAAAATAATGACAAAGATAGCACAAGAAGGCGTCAAGACCAAACAAATAGCATTCAACGCTCTAGGTTAGCTCTTACATTTCATGTATTTATATGGACAATATTTTGTGTTCTCGAATATTGAATTAATGTATATTTTATATCATCAAATACGATGTGTATAACTATTGAAGAAAAAATTGTCCTTTATAAAGATTTACTTGACATGTTTAATAACTTAAATACCGTATAAGTGGAAATTTTAGCGAGACGCAAATTTAGCGATTTGTCCTTAAAAATTGGTATTTTATTTTTAGCGAGATGTAATTTTAGCGATTTTAAAAAGCTCACTCAAGAAGCTATTAAAAATAAAGCGCAATTAATATTTAGCGATATCAAATTTTAGCGATCTTGGCATCCTCGTTAATAATGCCAAAATTAAATCCTCGCTAAAAATTCTGCTTATACAGTATCTTGTTAATCAAAAAATACGAAAATTTTGGCTCATAAAAAGTATTTGTTATGCATGCAAAAATAAAATCAAAGTACTCAGAAGTACAGAGAGCCGGGCTCGTTTACAGAACAGAATGGATTTCTTACATGAATCACGTTTATATTCTGATGAAAAAATTTATTTTAAAACTATCAATATAAATGATAAGACACTGACAGTGAGTTTTTCAATCCTAATACCACGGTCCGATTTTGCCAGAATCAGAATTAATCTGGTACCGCAGCTGAATGTAAACAAACAAGCCAATCTGGTTCCCTCTCCTGCTTTACCTCGTATGTGTAGAGAACTACGGTAACACTGATTATCAAAAATCCTTACGTGAATGAACTATGTTCTTTGACTTATGAAGTTTTCAAAGTCATTACTACTAATGTTTATTTTATATAGATAAAACTTCGTTTTATTTTTGTTGCTTTATTTAGCGTTTGTATTATCTCAAAAGCGGTTGAAAGTAAGAACTATATTTTTGCACGTAACTTTAAAATGGCGACTATGGGGTCAACATCCTGCCTTGAACAGGATCACATAAGCCGGCAATTGCTCTTTGAGCAATAAGCCCGGCTAATCATGTAAATAAACGTTATGTATAATGTGCTTCTGTAATATAAAATTATGAATTTTAAAGATTAATGATGTTAATATTAAGTTAGATATGTATTGTGATCAGGTAACAGCAAGCTTGGAATCTATGTCTGTAAGCATGCAGATGTGCAGCTGAAACTTGCAGAATCATGGAGGGTTGACCAATGCCACCTTATTGTTTGCAAGGTAAGTTCCATCTTATTGTTAGCAACGTTCAAAATTTTATTCATATTCATTACGAAGAAGTTTTTTGAAATGATAAATCAAAGATATAGAATAAAATCTTTGGTAATCCTTGTCGTTAACTCTAGGTTATGTATGGTAAATGTAAACTGGTCACTCCACAAACTGGCACTGAAATAGAGCCTACACCCAACTTTGACTGCCATGTCTCTCAGGAAAAACCAAATCCCAACGATTCCTTCAGTTTACAGATCATAAAGTCCATGGTAATTATGGGAAGCCTTTAAGCAATACTTTCTAAAATGTTGTGAAACGGTTTATGATAAATAAACCAAATATATAGGGAAATAAATTGAGTTGTTTTACGAAAATGTATTCCAAAGAAGGTTTTTAACAATATTTCAACATTTTTTGTTTCATTCTTATGTATTGACTGATTGATTTATCTTCCATACTTTTTCTCTTAGGTATACATGTATGAATACAATGAGGATTATGAAACAGTTGACAGACCAAAGCACTGTGTACCTTATGCATTTGTAGTCTATGAAAAATCTAGGGATAAAAGATTAAGCTCTGACACAAAGCCTATACAGTGGGCATCTAAACCAAAACCATCAGCAAGTTCGCGTCCATCCTCTGGAGGAAATGAGGCTCTGAGAAAATCTAACAGAGAAGCCTTTGAGAAAAGGGTAGCAGGCTTATACAATGCTCCCCCATTCCCTCACTTGTATATTCCGCCAGTGGAGAATCGGATGACAAGTCAACAGGGATTGCTTCCATTACCCATTCTAAGGCCCTCCATATACAGTGTACACCAAACAAGGCAGGATCCCAGGGTAAGGTCTTCAAGTCAGGATGATGAGTCTTCACTGACTAAATCTGTTGAAGAATCTACTGCAACCACCAAATTAGTAGAAGAATCTACTGCAGCCTCCAAATCGGTGAAACCTGAACAAGTTATTTCACCTTCCAAAACTGTGGAAGAAATAGATACTGTTCCTTATAGCCCTGGCAAAGACCACGAAGAAAGTGGTGAAGAGTCCTATGTAGACACTATTCCTACACCTGAGAGAGAATTGGAGGAAAGCATTATTAAGGCATCATTCAGAAAAGACACTCACCCCCCTGAACAAAGCACAGAAGAAAAAGTTGATCTCTCCATGCTGAATGCAAATTCTGACCAGCTGGAAGCAGTTGTGAAACATTTAGAAGCAGTATTAAAAAAGAAGCAGGAGGAATTGTTGATAAAAGAAGGCATGGTGCAGGATGAAAAAAATTACGAATCTCAATATGAGATTGAGGAAATTTCTCAGATGCAAGATGTTGATGAACGAATTGTAGGAAGTGCAGAGGAAAGTTTTGTCGTGAATGAAATGGGAGATATTGATGAAAGAGTTAGATCCACTTCTAATATGCAAGATGATGCTTGGAATACAAATTTTGCAAATGCTTTTGGATTTGATCCAAGAAATATTCCTTTCAAGAAGTCTGTAAAAGACTTACCAGAAGAAGAGAAAGACAATAAACACAGTACTGACATAATAAAAGAAGTTCCTATGGATATCGACTCTGACAATGAAAGTAATCCAATCAAAAGTGCAAGCCCACCACAATCAAAAGATGATTCACCTCAAAAAGAAAAGACAGGCAGAAAAGTATCCCTATCGGATTATAAAGCTAGAAGAAAACAGACATCGCCTATTAGGCCCAAAGTAAATGAAACAGTAGGTAGACCAGAAATTCTCAGAAATAAAACTTACCAAGGAAAAGAGGTAAATTCTTTATCTTCACAGACACCTACCTCAACATATTCTCAGTATTTAACAGAAGAACAAGCTAGATATTTTCAACACTCTTATTCACACCAACAAAACAGAACCATGGAAATGGGACACTTGAAATTTCCACCTACAGCTCATTTTCCTAATACCTCATCTAGTCAACTTACAGACATTCAGAATTCTCAAATGTTGGGACAATTATCTTCCAATCTTCAGATCACCAATAGCTCTTTGCAATCTCCTACAGCAAGCAGATCTCCTGGTTCAGCTGGTAGCTCTCATTTTGGAGGCTTTTTCCAAAGGTCTCCAACTGGTCTTTCACCTGGAGCATCATCAAACCAGCCAATTGGAAGTATTTTACACAAAGTGAATGTAGATATCTCCAACATAAAAAACATCTTACAAAGCATAGCATCACCAACGACATCACCAACCGTTAGTCCAGAAAAGAATATTTGGTCGTCTGCTCATGAAGATGTTCCATGGATGCAGTTGAAAGATGTTCAGCGACAACTTTCATTTGAAGAAAAACAGGCAGAGTTGAGGTATGATGCCTATAATTTGACATCTTCTAAACCCGAAAAACCTGTTGAAGATGACGATGATTCCGATTTTACCTCTCTCATCTCAAAAATTAAGAATTTACAGCAAGAAATTGATCAAATTAAAAAGGATGAGAAATCAAAAGGTACAGAGTGGCCTAGTCCATTGAAAGCAGTGAAAGAACTTGTTGATAAAAAGTTGGAGGGTAGCAAACAGGAAATACCCTCTGTTAGCAGAGGTGCAAATTTACTACAAGATCTTTCATATTTCGAAGAGGAGAAAAAGGAAGAGAAAGAAAAACCAAAGAAAGAAACTGAGGTTATTGATCTAAGTGGAGATGGAGTAAATATTCCAGGATTCGGATTTTCCGAAGAAAGTCCAGGGAAAAAATTTCAAACACCTCCTGAGCGCATTGAAATTCCAAAGGAACCCGAGACAATTGACCTCTGTGATGATGATTTGCAGGATGATGAAATTTCACTTAAAAGATCACAGGAAGAACCATTGTCTTTATCAGACAATCACGACAGTGATGATAACTGCCTTGTTATATGTGATCATTCTCCAGGAAAAATAGATGAATCAACAGCACCAAAGACAAATCCAAGTTTACTTGGCTTTTACAAAGATACTCTCATGGATGATGACAAAGTAATGAAGGATGTGAAGGAAAGTTGTCTACAAACTGAAGAGAATATTCACATATTTCAAATGCCAAAGGCCGTTCCTACCACAACAAAGAATTCAAAGAACAATGGAGTAGAGATAAACTTGGAAAATGATAAAGAAATCGGCTATATTTCTTGCGAAGGTTCATATACATCAGAAAATGATAATTCTCCTGTCAAGCAGAAGTCAACATCAACAAAAAAAGTAACTGAAGATGGAAGAAAAACCCCAGAGGATTTGGGTTCTAGACAACAAGAAAACAGCAAAGAACTTCATTCAAAGGTAAGTCTATCCACCATGAGATTTTATATTTACATGTTTATGATAAGAATTTTTTAAAGGCATAATCTGCGCTTTAAAAAATAGAGAGACGAATTGGTCTGGGAACTAAAATTAAGTCTGGTTCACAGAAATTAATTGTCTTATAAATATTACATATTGAATGGTTGAAAAATGATACATGAATATATAACTGTAATATTTGAATGATGAAAATCAAAGTAGAACAAATCACAGAAATTAATGTAAATATAAGTGTTTTGTATTGCACAAGGAAACACCTTCGAAGTTATCAACAGTTTCAAGCTCGACAGATTTATCAGTTAGAAGGAGTCCATCTGACATGTCATCTAGTGACGAATCAAAAAGGAAAGCTCAGAGAGCCAAAATGAAAGCATACTTGCTGAAAAAGAAAAGAGGGATGATTGGATATACAAAGAAGAGAAAACGGAAAAAGAAACATGCGGAGTTGGATGATCTTATTAGCACAACCTCCTCTGACCTCCTGGATGTCAGGTGTATAAAATTATAGCGAAAATAATTTAATTTTTTTTTAGTTTTATTACCAAAGTTTTGGCTATTTGAAGACGATTCTTTTCTTATCCTTTCACTTGCATGAGGGGTCATTTACACAAAAAGATAAATAGACTGCAATTACTTTGATTGTCTTCTGAATGATTCAATAAAGTTTTGAAATAAACCTGTAATTCTGCCTTCTTTAGAATTTAAAAGTTTTTTTTTAATTTGTAGTGAATCTCTGAGTTTGGATAGATTTTCTGGTGCCCTGTCTTCAAAATCAAGAATGTCTTCCCCTCTTGATAGTGTGCAAAAGCTGAATCCGAATACTTTGCTGGCTGACTTGGGTGTGAAACACTGGACAGATGGTTTGAAAGTCAAAGAACTGCAACCAGTTGTCTACCTAAGAAGGGTAAGATATATGTTATATTCAGTGGAAAGATCTAAGTTGTACAGAAAATCAAAAATGAAAGAAACCAAATGCCTACTTTTTTCACTTCTTAGTGTGATGACCCAAAGTCTTTAACATCGAACCAGCCACTGACAAGGATACAGTTAGAATCTCAGTCTTCAGAAATATTGCCAGATGTGGATAGTCGTTTTCCTCAACATAAAGATGACAGAGTTAAAGAGTGGATTGAAGGCACAAGAAAGAAGATAAAACTAACATTGAAAGACCAGAAAGAGAATGAAATGGAAAAGGCGCAAAATATTCCTGTGTTCCATACTTCAGAGAGAAAACTTTCAATACCAGTTTCAGCAAAACCTGAACCGAAGAAATTAGATGACGTGAATTTCAATGAAAAGAAAGAAATTAAACAACAAATACTACAGCCTAGTCAAATTAAAAAAGAACCCTGTTTAAAGTCAGATGCGGTGTCAATGACTGTTACAGGTGTGAAAATCGAAAATAAACCCACTCAAGGGCAAGTTAGGAACATCTCCCCAATCACAGTTATTTGCTCTAAACCGCCAATAATAGCACAGACGAGGGTACCTTCCCCAGTTGTCACTTGTGTACAAAGTGCTAATATCAGTTTTAAACCAATAAGTGTAACTTCAGGTCAGCAATTAGCAGCTGCAAAACAAGACTTGTTTACCCCGAGAGTTGTTAGACTTTCCTCGAGTGCTCCATCTCAGCAAAATCTGGTAATTCCCACTATAAGATCTGAGCCAGTTCCTCCACAATCAACAACCAACTTGGTGACCTCATCATTCACAAATCTCCCGCAACAGGCACCTCACCTGTCTGCCAATCAGATGACACTTATTTCAACATACAATAGCTATCTTGCCAATCCTTCAGGACTCACGGGGTCCTATCCTGTAATAAACCCTGTTTCAGCAACTCCTCAAAGACCACCTGCTGCACAACCATCGTCATGTAACCAGCAAGGTTCAGCAGTCCAGTCTTCAAGTTCTCCTTATTTATCAGCAGTGCCCCTTCATTCAGGGGTTCCATCAGCAGTCTCGCAAGGACAATCGGCAGTTGTCAATACCAATCCAGCGCTGAAAAATGTGTCTCAAGGAAATGCACATATTGGTGGTAATATTCCAGTACATCCTCAAAATGCCCATGTTCCACCTAATGAGCAGATGCATCAAAGCAGCTTAGTTCAAGTACCTAAAACATATGGTATTAATCCTAACTTTCCACCACCTTACAGATACACATCTGCAGCTCAGCAACCGTATCCTATCCAAAGATTTCAAACTCCAGTTACTCAATCTGTATTCCAAGGTTCTTATCACCCTTCGCAATCACCAATCCAAAGTATTCAGCGGCCAAATCTACAAAGACCACTGTATACAAATCAACCCCATCAACAACAGATGAATCAAAGAGCAACATTTCAACCTGTTCATCAAGGAATGGCAGATAACCAGAGAGTACCGCCTCGACCTGCTCTTCAGGTTGTGACACCACCAACAACTCCCCTCTCTCAAGTTTTACCACCTCAGCCTATTCCTCAGAACCCATCATCCTACCCTAAACTGCCTTTTGGACAGGTACCGGCACCGCCCTCTTCCACTTTAAATGATACGACGGCTGCAAAAAGAAAATCTACAGATGTTATGGATTGGTTTGTTGAAAAGTTTGTAGCTAAGAAACATGTGAAGGAGAGTGGGTCAAGCAGCTATACTGATACATATTCCGATACTGATTCTAAAAATTCACGAAGATCAAGATCTCGAAGCCCAACTGACTCTTATACTGAATCATCACTATCCCCAAGTCCACGGAAAAAGCGATCCGATTCTTTTTTAGTCTATGGCTGCCAGCAAGGAGCTGGCAGAAATGAATCTAATACGAAAATGATGGATGGAAGTGCACTATCCTCACAAATAAAAGACATGTCACCAGAAAGAGTGAAATATTCACCTGTAATTGACGGAAAACAACATTCACCAGATTGGAGGAGACCGTCTTTTGAAAAACAGAATTCTTCGGAAAATCGAGGAAGCCAGGTTGTAAATAATATGAATTTGAAAGATCGTGTAGAAAAGAGTCCAACAAAGATTGACCATCCAAGTCGTCCTGTCAAAGGACCATCTATTGAGGAAAAACCTAAACCAACATTTAGAAACACTTTTAGGCAAGTAACAAACGATGTGCTGCAATCAGAACAAGAAATTGCAGATGCTCCAGCAAGTCCTGACACTGACACTCGAAATGTTACATTTGAGACCCCTGCAAGTCCCGAGCAGGAAACACCAGCAAGTCCAGATCATAATGTTTCAGAAATCCCACAAATATCTTATGAGATCATTGAATTGGGCGAAAGTCCAGAGAGGCCTACAGATGATGAAAAAATGGATCTTTTTGATACTTCAATTGATAAACTTGATCGTAAACGAGAAGCAATCAGAAGACAATTGGATGATTTAAGATCCGACTCAAATTCTCCCCGGGTGATCAGGAATGTTGAATTGAAATCTAATGACTTGATAGAGATTTCTGATGAAGAACTTGAAGAGGGAGAAATAGCTGATGAAAGTAAACGAAAAGAAAGCGGTTCTGATAATGACAGGCGAATTGTTGCTGTTCATGGAACTGAGGATTCCAAAGATAAAATTTTGAGCAAATATCATGAGGGATTAAGTGTGACTGTAAATGCTAAAGGAAAATCAGATCTGGGAGGTAAAACCAAAACTATGAAAACAGAGTATGACGCGAATAATTCCGAAAGAATGGATGAAAAAGATAATAATTGGTCTTCAGATGACAGTGATCGTGAAATGGACAGAAAAAGTCGTTCAGATAGGTATGGCTACAGATATAGATCGTCAAGAAGAGATCCGTATTCACGCAAATCACATGAGCACAGATCAAGATTTAGATCACGAGGTCGAAGTTCAAGCAGTGATAGGAGGTATAGATCACATCGTCGTAGCTCTAGCTCCAAAAAGCGCTACACATCTCGAGGTAGGAGCTCCAGTAGTGAGAGACGATACAGATCGCGCAATCGAAGTTCAAGTAGCGAGAGACGCTATAAATCACGTGGTCGGAGTTCAAGCAGTGAAAGGCGGTACAAATCACGTGGTCGGAGTTCTAGCAGTGAAAGGCGTTATAAGTCTCGTGGTCGCAGTTCCAGTAGAGACAAACATGAGAAATACAAAAGGTCTAATAAGTATAAAGAATATGGCAGTGATTCTAGCGAAGGGGCAACCAAGAAGAAAAATAATAGAGATGTTTCAAAAGACTACGTCACAGATAGAGCACTTCCTAGTCAAAGCGAATCGCTTAACAAAAATGAAAAGCCCCAAACAGATAAAGTACCATATGAAAGGAAATTCAGCGTCTCAACGGCAGCAAATGCTTGGTCTGAAATGTTACGACAAAAACCTACAAATATTGAGGTCATAAAGGGTGACAGAAAGGACAAAGACGTGCCTATCCCAACTCAAGACGACTTAAATGTGTACAAAGAGCTAAAGGAATATATAACGAATAAAAAACTTGAAGCGATATCAACCATCCAGAGTGGAAATGGGCAAACTAACGTCTCTGATCAAGCTAAAGAAACAAAAGGTTTTGTCAGAGTTATTCAAAATATGACTCCCAAAGAGACATTTAAATCTTGGGCAATCAAGGAATTTAAATTTAATACAGAATCCGAATTTGATGAAATCGCATCTAAGATAACTGTGAATTTGAACTTGGAGATAACGCAGTTATCGAAGTGTCAAAGAAAGGCAACCAAGGCCAAATTGCGGAAAGAAGTAGAAATAGCAATGGAATCATTACGAATAGAACGACTTGGTGCTAACCAATCATTTCCCGCTTCTTCTGCAGAAAGCGTTGTGAAAAATGACAGAAATGCATTACAAATTAGGCCTTTTGAGCCTTTGAATATAATGAAAAATTCAATTGAAAAAGAATTAGAGATAGTTCGGGATCATCTGAAGAAACTGTGGCATTCTACACAAGTGTTGATTGATGCCGTACATCCTACACATGTAGGTTCAAAGGGGGCCCCAAAAAGTGACAAAAGTGCCCATTTATTTTCGATAAGACAGGACATGCAACAAATAGAAACGGACTTAGTTCAAAGAACTGCAACGTATGGGGCGCACTACGGAGTAGTGAATCGCCGTGTGCCAAACGAGTTATTGACCGATGAGGAGAAAAATAGCCACTTTTCTGAGGAGAGTTTAGTACTGGTACTATCGGGATATATTCCTTCAAAGGCCTTTCAAAAGCTCACAGCATTACGAGAAAAACTTGAAAACGCAAAAAAAGACATTGCAAAAGCAGAGTCATTGCAAAATAAAGAGCAGTTAGTAAGACTGAGAATGGGTAAAGAAGAGATTCACAGAGCCAGAAAGGCCATGATGTTATCATTCACAGGGCCTCTATCAAAGAAAAGGATTCAAAAGATCAAAACAAAGGCAAAGTGTTACAGAAACTGCGTAGATTATTTTAAAAAGGAGCTGGGTGAATTTGATGCAGAAACTCACCTGAGGTACCTGATGATATCCCTGCAAGATCTGGATAAACACTTCAGTTTGTTAACACAGTTACAGGTATGAAAACTGTTTGATAAAGAGTTGAAATATAATTTGAAGGTTTTGTATCTTTGGCTAAAAAAATTATTTATTTATTTTTTAGGAGGAACAAGAAAAACAAAAGCAAGAGGAAATAAATCAGTAAGTTTAAAAAAAATTATCATAATAAAACCTTTTTAAAAGTGGCAGATATTTGATGGTACTTTTTACAGTGTATGTTACTAATGTTGTGTCTAACAATTTAGAGACATTCATCTGAAGAAAAGAAGAGTGATGGTGAACAAATTTCACGATAACTTTCGGTTTGTTGACAACCAGTTGAACAGCATGTTTGCGAAATATCAATTCACGAACCCGCACGTGCTGCCCGCCATTACGGATGTTTCCAGAAAGATCAAAGAAGCCTTGGTGTTAATAGATGCTGAGAAAGATTCTAAGAACATTTCCGTCAACACTGTTGCCCAGTTAGAGCAGATTCTGAAATCATGCCTAACCGGCTACGAAAATGTTAAACAACAAATAGGTAGGCAATTTTAAGATGTATCTTTTTTTTTCTAAGAAGAATTTCTGCAAAGAAATAACGATTTACATATTAGTCAACCATATTTCTTTGTTTTCAACAATTTGATCTTTTTTACGCAGTTGGCCTTGAAGTGAGTATCAGGTCACATTAAGATGTATACATTTTTGCTGTCATATTCTTTCTTCGTACCAGCATTCTGCTATTGTTGTATATTGTGTTGTATTGCGATTTTTCAAAATCTTAATATTAATGAAAATAATCCTACCTACAATATGTTTAAATTCTCCTATCTTTCTTCTGCTGCCCTTCGATTGTCTCCTATTAGATGCAAAACTTTATGGCAACTTCAGCATGCATATTGTGTTGTACAATTATTTTTTGAAAACACTAATCGATCTGTTATATCATATCATTACACATATGTATAAACAAATACATGTAGTTTTAAATAATTTTGGAAAAAAAAATTAATTTTTGTATTTTTTCCTTAAGTTGGACTTAGTTTTTTCATGATAATTTATGGTGAAGACCTATAAGCAACTAAAGAGGGAAGATAATTAGTCAAGTTTGTAAACTACATCATGAGTGACTTTGGTTAAATTTTTGGTGGTTAGAATGATGAAGATATAAGTAACCAACAACTATTAGATAATAATGAAGTCATTTTGCATGTTCAAAGTCTGTAGTTATGGTGTAGTTCTTTTTTAGATATGATAAAAGCATAATTAAGCAACTATAACTTATAGTGGCATGATAATTTGTAGTGTTATGGGTAACCACAAACTGTAAGTACCTTATAATGATCTGAAATATATCCAACGTACATGTACAGAAGATGTGTTTTTTCCTCAAAACTGAATTAAATATTTACAAATCCTGTGTAAAATCTGTCTTTAAATATCTCATTTTTAATGCTTCAGATACAGTTAAATACATATGAGATATTCTGATATATAATTACGAGGATAGATCAAACATACCGATTTCTCAGTGTAAATGGGTATACAGACACAAAGAATACAATGTTAAATAAATGCAGGCTTGAACACGTAAAAATACATTCCTAATGTACAAACCTTTTTAATCTAAATTCAAAATCAATTTTTCTTACTTTTTTTTTTTACATTACCCCAGACATATTATAATTATTTAAATAAATGATTAAAATTCTACAATTGCTACTCTATGCCCTTCTAGACATGGCATAAATCGAGGTCATAAATAACATCAGCATATTTTTCATTACAGAAAAGAAATAAAATCTATATATATATATATATATATATATATATATATATATATATATATATATATATATATATATATATATATAATATACATGTATATATTTTAATGTTTGCAAAGTCCGTTATTTTGTGTCGTTGAATTTACTTGCCTTGTAATTTGTTAGTTTGTGTTGTCTTTATTTACGTTTTTTTAATTACTGTATCTAGTCCTTTAAAAATTATTTTCCAAGAATTTTGGGCATTATTGTGTGTACAGATGCAGCATTCAGTTATATTACTGAAGTTTAGTTCTATGATGTAAGGATTTGCTATATATAATTACCACAAACAAAAAATGGATGTGCGGGTTGATATATATTTTTTGACTGATTTTGATTTGTAATGACATAAATAATAAATCCCTGAAATATAAAGAAGTAGTAGGTTTTCCTTATGCTTAGATTTGAGATTTAATTTTGCCTTCTATATAATTCCATACAAAATTTTGCACAATATTTTATATACTTGATGACAAAATCTTATAAAATTCTCCCACTCTACTTGGTAAACATTACTTTGGTTGTCAATTTAAATGTAAGTCTATGAAAAATAATGCTGATTGTGTGAAAAAAGTTTGTTTGTGTTATTTATCCTTAATAGAAATCAGATAATGTTAGCGGTTTAGTAGTATTTTGTAAACTGGCCAGTTCATTAGAATTTTGTATTTGTAAAGATGCATTGTCTTATAAAATGGTTTTTGTTTATTAAAACGCATTGTAGATGAATAAGTCTTAATTTTATCTTCTTGGATTCTCAATATACCGAAAAAAAAAACAACACAAACATTTCCAATTTTTCAAATGCAAACCTGTAATTCGTTTCCTATTTTACTATTTTAAACGTAAAGTTATTCTATTCCTTGTGAGTTGAGGGTACGACAACTCTGGACTAAGACCAATTTGCGATATGTTTTACTCTGTTGTAAATTCAAAATCTGTGATCATAAATCTAACTTGTCTTAAGTCAATCACATAGTCTGTTCAAGAAATGTATTTCCTAATTTAATTAAACTCAGATATTGACAAACAATTAGCTAACATAAAGATAGTGCCGTCTGATTGAGTATTCCTCCACTCCAGGTTGTACATGTAATTCCAGAGGAGTCTTAAAGAGAATCAGCATCTGTCAATATAATGGCATCCAAAATCTTTCCTGATATGTTCTATAGACCTCTGACAACTCCAAAATTGGTTGACTTGCACCACTTAACATATGATAAATGGGCGACATATTTATGCTTCATAAACATATAAATATATGCGTTTTTCATAAGTTTTATAGAGGACTGACTGTATATATAAATCAAATTCACAAACATTGTATGTGTTTAAATATTTTTATTACTGAAGAATTCGGCAAGTAACAGGCAGCGAGGACCTAACATTCTGTATTCTACCGTTTACAAGCAGTGGCAAAGAAATTGAAAGATCATGTTTAATATAAACTTGTAGTGCACGATGTTCACACAGGTCATATACTGCGCATGCCCCTCCAAAAATCGAAAGAAGGAAAGCGTTTACTTCATACTAAACGCTAAAGAAAATTAAGTATTGGAAAGACACTCTCAGCATATCAAATAAAATATATATAAAATCAATAATTTAATATCATAAATAACATACAAATTCACGCCTTTCACTGGTGTCATATATACGATAAAAAAATCATAAACTTAAAAAAAATTGATAAAAAGGCTGGAATAATGATAATGAGTTTCTTGTCCATGGAAGACAACTATATTACACTACATTCACAACCACTGTACAAAAGAATTTTATCAAACAATTAAAGCGTTTACAATACAATATATATAAAACTGGTAAGAATTTTTTTGTCCATAGACACAGAAGCAGAAAGCCGTTTTAAAGCATTGCAGTAGTTGAATTCTAGTTCCACTTAATTGTAGAGTGTCTTTTGTGTGTGTGTTGCCTTCTCCTGAAAAAATAAATAAAAATTTTAATTTTAACTTTTGCTATGTTCCTTCCAAGAACAAGCATTGATCAAAATTTTTTGAGATTCAGCAAAATAAAGAACATCGAACCTTAAGATGGCTGATTGTAAGTTATACATACCTCTCCACTTTCGTTCAGAAGGACGGTGGTGACCTGTGATCCGATGCCCCAGGTGTCATCATCTCTGTATACCAAGTCATTGACACTGGCATCAGCAGCGCTACCACGGGAGTAGATCTACAATAATATACGTAATGTCAAACCAGGTTACTATTATGTCCAAATTCAAATAACTGTTGGATAAAGAAAATAGTTATTCTGCCCAAAATTCATTTTTAAATGCCTTTTTATTTACTTCAATAATCTGCGCCATCTATCGGCTTATTGTCATTCAATTGTATATACCGAGTTAGAATAAGATTATTTTGTCATTATTTTTGAGTTTAAACGAGTACTTAGCTGTGTTTACCTTAACAACCTTGCCAGGTTTAAGAGTAAAGTTTCTAAATGTGTAGATGTAATCTCTCTTGCCGTCAACTGTTCTCTTCAGCTTCCAACCATCCATGTTAACTTCCTGTCAAAATTCAATGAAACATAATTAAGAAAGAAAAGCTCTTACAAGAAATAAAAAGGACCTTTAAAAGTACGTGTATTTGATTTCAATAAAAAGGCAGTAGTCAATTCCTTATGATCGTCATCCGTACCCTTCTGTTGGCCCCACTGGAGGTGTTTTCCAGGCTGATAAATTTCCCCTCTGGACAGACCTCTGAGATAGACAAAGGTCCAGTGGATGTTCTCTGATAAGTTGTCTTAGCGGAGACCTCGCCTCGCATCATCTTCATGGTTTGGTGAGATTCTGCAATCATGTAAAAATAATAAATCAATCCATCTGTACTATTAACACCTATACATATTTGGTTCAAACGAAAAATCTCTTCATATATTTACTTAACCACTTATTAAACAATTAAAGATATGTTTAAATATCTGTTGAATACAGCTACATGTGTATATAAATATGTATATATATATAAATGCAATTAATTACATTTAGCAGTATAATGGCAGTTGTGTACACTTTATATAGAGAGGTTACAGGCGTAAATCAGACAAGTAGCAAAAGAGATATTGTAGAGGTGGATAACTGATATCATGCAATGCATTTAATTTTAAAAGAAGGACATTTTCTTTACCAAGAGACAGGACTCACTAGTTAAAGAAAAACATTACCCGCAGTCAAACATTCAAACAAACCAAACCAAATTTTAACTTAATCTTCTATTACACTATCCCCAAGTTATTAGTAAAATGTTAGCCTTCCCATGAATTTGGGATACGCACCGCCTTTCTGTTCATAACCCGTGATCATTTCGGACAAGTGTGCACCTCCGCGACTCTGGGCGTTTGTAGTCGTTTCAACAAATCCTCTAATTCCCACCCTGTGTGCATTAAATAAATGTGTGATATGACAACAAAAATATTACAAACTGAATAACAACAACAAGAACATGGTGCCTATAGGTTAAACAAAACGTGACCTGCAACAAAAAAAGAACATAAATAGCAGATACACAATATATAAAGCAGGTCAGAAGATGGGTGAAGCATGCTGCCTGGGTTATAATGATTAGATGAGGCGATGTGCTTGTTTACCTCCCCTAGGATAAACCTCATTATCATGAACTTCTATGGAGTCATTCACATCAGAACGAAGTCTCATAATTGGATTATACCTAGTATGACAAAGATGGAGTCATGAATTGCATGGATGTTTTTACAAAATAAACAAAATATATCAAAGGTGACTGCAGATTTAAACTTAAGCATGCAAAGTGGTGATGTGGAAACAAAGAAAATCCAAAATGTTGCAGTGGAACCTTCATCCTCTTCTTCAGGTTCTTTTGTATCTCCGTTTACAGTTGGAGTACCATCCTTTGAAACACTGCTTTTTGAGTCATCTTCCTCTTTATCATCCGATTGTTCTTCAGATATTTTTTCATCTTTGTCTGGTTTTTCATCATCCTGTTTCTCTTTTTCAGATTTAGATTCTTCCTTCTCAGTTTCTGTTTTATCATCTTTACCACCAGTTTCCTCGATGTCAATTTTCTCATTCTTTGTATTTTCCTCGGTTCTTTCATCCTCTGGTTTATCTTCATCTTTCTGGTTAGTGTCTTCATCATCTTCTTTATCATTGGCAACACCAGAATCCTCAACCTTTGTATCTTTATTACCTTCTTCAACCCCTTTCTCATCAACACTTTCAACTTTCTTCTCATCATCTGTTTTACCATCTTGTTTGTCAACATTAGTTTCATCTTTCTTTACATCATCGTCTTTATTCTGATCGTCTTCTTGTTTCTCTTCTGAAGCCTCAGCAGGTGGATCTTCTTCAGTCTGTTTTTCCTCATTTGCTTCAGGTACTTCTTCTTCAACATCAGCAGATTCTGCCTCCTCTGTTTCTTCTGTTTTCTCTGGCTCTTCTTCATCATTCTTCACAGCTTCTTCTTCTGATGGTTTTGACTCTTCTGTTGTAGACTGTTCAGTTTGCTCTACGACTGGAGTTTCCTCCACCATTGGTTTATATTCTTCATCAGGAGTTATGTCTCTTTCTGCTCTATCGTCATCTATGTCTGGTTTAGGTTCAGGGACAGGTTTGGGTTCAGGAAGACCCTGTGGTTCCTCGTCGGGTTCGGGATCTGTGTAAGTGTTAGGTTGCATTCTCTGATTTCGCCATGCAGCATTGCGAAATCCAGCAACACTTGCAACTATACCACGTACGTATCTAATATTTTAATTATTTTTAAAAACACATACCACCACCAGCAAGACAGCATTGAGAGAAAAACAAATAAAAACACATTAGGATCTAATATCTCTCTGAATCAATACAATAATCAACAAAAATTATTACGGATAAGCATTAATGCTTCACATATACATGTACAGTATAAAGACTTCCATTACAAACTGAACGTTTTTTACAAAATAAGGCTTCATACCGGCTTTCTTCTGATTCCAGTAGTTTTCTGTAGGCAGCAATCTCCAGCTCCAAGGACAATTTGTGATCCATAATAGTCTGTAATTCTTGTAGGATACCTTCCATCTCAGTTCTAAGGCTAGTGATTTCTTCCTTAAGTCTGGTAGTCTCAATAGTGTGTTCAGATTCAATTGTTTCATATTCACGCAGGAGGTCTTGGTATTGTTTCTCTAGCAAGGCGTTCTACAAATCAAAATATGTTTTTCATACAGTTACATCTGAAAACGAGTTTTAAACATATTGAAAAGGTCACTTAAGAGTCTTCAGATGAAATGTGTTAGCCACACTTACTCTTGCTTCAAGATCTGCCAGTCTTCCCTTCTGGTCTGAAATCTGTTTCAATAGTTTCTTGTTCTCCTCCTTGATGTGGGTTACCTCCATGTTCTGTTTGGTGGCTCCAGTGCGGAATTCTTGAATCTACAAAATGATCGTCAGTTTTATCACACTAAATAAAAAATGCAACAACTAGGCAATGGTTTTGCTGATCAAACATTTAAATGACCTTTACCTTGAGATTGTAGAAGCCCTCCATATCTCCTCTGATCTGGTCCACCTTGGAATCATACTCTTTCTGGATGTCACGGATGGCCTGAGAAAGTTCGGATTTCCAGAATTCGCGGTTCTCTTCCGTTGTGTCACGATAAGCAAGGGCGGCTAACTCCTTCAGTTCCTGTAATCGGTGTCATAAATATGCTTAAGTGGGCAATCAGTGCGAATAATGTTATGATAATGTGTCTTTTGACACGGTTATATCTTGCATAAATGGGCAATAAAATAAAATTCCTTTAGCAGTATCATATTCATAGTACATTGAATACTTGGTAAAGCATGCAACTGTATCATTTATTATACGCCTACTTATTGAAAGTGATATGATTCTTTAAAATTTATACAAAAGAAAACTACTTTTTAAGGACCCATATGAACTAAACCATGGGAATTTGTGTTTTTCTTGTTTTTTTTTTTTTTTTCAAAATATCAATTCTGTCCTGCAATTTCTCTAATTCTGTACGGACTGTGAATTTTTTAATGCAGCAATATAAATCAATAACATACCTGTTCGTGGACCTTTTTCAAGAATTCGATCTCTTCTTCAAGGGTCTGTCTTCTGTTCTCAGCGTCCAAGTGGGCCAGTGTTTCGTTGTTCAGGTCCTAAAAATGATGATAGAATTGTGATTTATCAAATTATTTCAAGTGACGTCATTTCATATATTTTTTTTTAATTTGTTTTGCACACATTTCACCCTTAATACAGATTGAATTAGGGAGTCAGCTTAATAAGTATTCAATGGTTGTTGTCTAAAACAAACATTAAACTTCACTGAATATCTTGTTTGTGTGCTTTAATTAGGCAAAATGGATTTTTTTTATCCCCTAAACGATGTACCAGGGTTTCTCCCCATTAACGTTAATGCTTGAAAATATAAACTGTCGGTTTTATTTTTATCGCTTTCCAACTAGAAATAAAGCTTGATTCTATATCTAAGCGCTAATCCTGGCAATATTTGGAATCAATAACATTAAAATTTCTTCACATTTCAGCAATAATGAACTTGACCCTTTGCCCCTTCAGCTTCGTCTGATCATGAAAGGTCATCGACACTTTCTGATTAAGTCCCAATTCTATGAAACAACAGACTGCATATAGGCCTTATAATAAGACGACGGGAAATCTTCGATCGGTAAAGTCGACCAACAAACACAAACAGACTTGCAAACGACTAGAATACGAATCAGAAGCAATACAAATAATAATGAATAGTTCGGATGCTGTCTCCGGTCCATTTCCTCGAATTTGAAGACTTGTACGGAATGATTGATACATCCGGGTATGTTGTGTGCAGACGAACAATAATTCTGTAGATGTTTAGCGATTAGAGAAACACAAACTTCTAAATATTAATAAATTTAGAGAATGAATGAGAACTTTCTGATTGCATATTTTCCCCACTTTGGGTGATTAGTGCATTAACTCCATCTATACATGCAAGTCTGTTTGGAGAGAAGGAAAAGTAGCCAACAGCATTATTTAAACAGTCTAGTTAGAATCTAACTTGCCAATAATAAATTCAATATATCACATAACTGATAATCAGGGATGAATTTAATGTGTTTAGTTTATCCTGTTTGTATAAGAGTTTGTCTGAATTGAGCGATATCTTATAAATCTACTTCTTCCGTTCTTGGCAGGCTCTCCCCGTTCAATACGTCTGGGCTGGGAATTGCCAAATCACCAATGCGATTATTCAAAGATCGTAAAAATAATTGCTGGGTATTGGGGGTTGAGGTGAAAATGTGAATAAATAATACATAAATGCAAACATCCAAAAATAGTATGCTAAGCAAATCTTCCACGTCTGTCTGGTGTTTTGGGCTTTGCAGCAATGTCTTTGGAGTCTGCATTGCTATTTTACTAACTTTAAACACTACATACAAAATATTTCACTTAGTTTTGGTAGTAAAAATAAAATCTATAAAGACTTTATGCATATCAAACACGGGCTTAGACATTGGAATGCAGAACTGAATGCTTACAATATACTAGCAGGCTTCAAATGCATAAAAAAAAAGTATACACACTGCATTACTTGATCATATACATGTAGTACTAATCACTCCCAAAGGAATGGCTTTTTCTGTAATTTTTATACTTCTCATCATTCTAATTTTATACAACTCACCAGTGAAATTTATACTACTCACCAGTCTAAGGCGGTCGACCTCGGCCTCCAGACTCTTGATTCTGTCACGGTCTCGGTTTCTGTCGGTTTCCAAGGAGTCCACGGTACGACGGAGGAGGTTCACTTCCGCCTCCAGATCAGATACTTGTTGGTTCAGTCTGGCGATTGTGTCCCTGTCTTGGTTGCGGTACCTCTTGGCATCATCCAACCTTTTAAAATAAGGACAGAAAGACCCTTAGGAAACTAAGTCACTATGTAATCTTGAAGACCTTTAACTCGTATTTTGCCTTAATTTTACAAGACCACCCTGAGCTTTTTTTTTTTTTAAATTTATTTCTGAACTAAATGTATTTGTGCTATAAAAACGTCAAAATTCAAAATATACAGTCATAAAAGCAAATTTATTTTGGATTTTATCAAGAGTTTTTAAATGACAAATTCGGCTATACTTTCACCTGAAATAAAGATTTCTCACATTGGAAAAAAAACCTTGGTTCACCTCTATACTAATATTCAATGTGCAGCACAGGTTATTGATACCCCCGGGACCCAGATTTATGGTGAAATTGACACGATTATTGTCATCATTATCTTTATTTCATCGTTCTCAGGTGGCGCTTTAGAGAATCATAGATTCCGCTCCGTACAGAACTTGTAGCTAGGGGCATCGACAAGACTTACTCGGAGTATAACGGGATCGATGCAATCACTAGCGAGTCTGACAAATTGGGAGTTTGTTCACGCTTCGTTTAATTTTGTGACATTACACAGAGGCAATTGAAGCGAAGCTATGAAAAAATACAGATTCAGGACTGAATGCATTACCGACGAATGTAAATAAATATCTTTTTTGTTATTTCTTTTTTTTTTTTTTTAAATATCTCTCTTTTTTTTTTTATCTGAACATGCATTTTTAAACGAATACTTTAAGTCTTGCTTAGTTGGTCCCCGAGTTTTCATAATTGATTATGTAATTCAGAATTTAAATGGGATTATTTTAAAGATTTTAAAATCAGTGGTTTTACTATTCAAATGAAACACATCGTTTAACTCAACTTTAATTCTGTTATATTTACTTTGTGAACCTCTTTAGTTTAGTGAAAGTGGTTTACAAAGGTTCAATATAAAGCTGTTGTTTACTACTGACACGTTAAATAAATATTATCATCTAAACATCCTTTGAAATGTCCGATTCAAATTACTTTTTTAACCCCTTGGGCATGAATGTACATTAAACGAATTACCAAGGGTCATTGCAACTTTGAAATCTTAAATATTTATTTTAAAAATGACATGTACCTAAAAGTGAAACTACCAAAAAATGAATAATAGCAACTAAATATTGTTAAGCGTATTAAACTACATAAAACACAACTTGAAAGGGAATATTTGAAAAATTGAGCATAGTAAACACGCAATATGCCAAGTCCCTCGAGTTTCACTTTTATCATGTAACAAACTTTTATAGGGGTCGCCTCTTGACACCTTGATTCTAAAGTAATATACATGACTTTGAAGCGCTGACAGTGGGACTTTTCCCTACATCAGTTACATGTAGGGCTGGCACCGTGAGGCAGGGTCCACCTTGATAAATGAATGCTGAGGCCCAGTCTAATTAATAACGAGATGAGAAAACTGTCCCCTGGGCAAGGAGAGGACGATGGTGGAAGAAAAGGGATAGAGCACCTGTGGTTTTACTTGTTTTACATAAGAAAATTAATTTTATTATTGTTGTTTTACATAGGAAATTAATTTCACATAATTAATTACACATTTTCTTTGTATTTCTCAGATCATAATTTGTATCTTTAATGATAATTAGGGGCTATATCTGATTTATATTTGGCATGTGGTTTGTAATAACCTGAATGCTTATTAAACGAATAAACCCATCAAAAAGTTACCAAGTTCACAACATGCCTTCACAATAACCGGTTTTGGAGTTATTTGAAGATTGCGGGGGAATTTATCAAGTCTTAGCTGTGTCATTTACATATGTTTACAAATCATGCCGAAGATTTCCAGGTCGGATCAAAGAGTAGTCTTATTTTTATATTATCGTTATTTAAAAAGACGATGATTTCCGAAGGTCACCGTCGGAGAACAGGGTAGCCCGCTTTTTACACCCACTTCCTTACTTCAGTTCCCCCGAATGACGAATTTATTGACTATTAGACGCAGGTTAGACTTCGAATGAAAATGAACAACGGGCTACAAAAGATTGTGACCCGTCTAAATCGAATGAATAGAAATGGGTATTTACTTTGTATTGTTAGGCAATACAAGAATAGACCTAGTAGGTAAGTGTTACCAATACCCAGGTGGTTTAAGGGTTAGTGAGCACAATCATGTACATTTCTCAAGGTCTACCTGTAATTATAAATTCCAGGACTTTTTTTCCACAGAAGTAAAGTGTTCTGCCTTTTAAAACTTTTACTTGTTGAAGTATTATAATCCTATAAATCAGCTGTTCCTTGATTTTTTTTTCCAACTCAAAGGAATTTGCAACATTTAATTATGAGTGCATAAAATATTCATATCATAAGGGGTAAAGATTTATCAAAAGATATCTCTGTCAGAAATACTTGAGAATTAGACACTAACGACGAAACTGTCAAAGGATTCCAATCATGTTCAAGTGATATATGGCTTTTGAATGAGAGAGAGTGCAAACACTAACTTATTAGATTGTTTACATATGAACCTGGCTGAACTTTTTGGATGACATTTTACCTTTAATTGACCGATTTGACTTACTGTCTTTGCATGTCCTGCATCTGTTCTTGCAGGCTCTGGTTCTTGATCTCTAGATTGGTCTTTTCGCGGGTAAGGTCGTCAATAAGTTTCCTGGCCTCAGATAACTCCGACTCATACATTTGTTTCACAGCACTTGTTTCTTGTCCCCATTTGTCTCTCAGCGTCTCCAGCTCCGATGCTAACTTTCTGTTCTGGGCTTCCAAGAACCTCACTTTTTCGATGTAGTTAGCGAATCTCTCGTTCAGTTCCTGCATGTCTTTCTTTTCCCTTTCACGGCTGTTTTTCACCGTGGACACCCCAGTTGAGGATACCTTCTCATATCCCCCTGGTCCCAACCCGGAATCCATTTTAGATCCATACCCGTATTCTACGGTCCTCACATACGAAGTACCCCCACTGGTTCCTCCCAAGCTCTGTCTAATTCCGGGGCCTGTTGAGGACCTATGGATAACATTGCTTCGGCGCGGGGTGATGCTGGACTTAAAGCTAATGTCCGAATGTTCATCTAAAGAGGGTTTCAAATCGTACCCTCCATGGGACCCTGAAGATGACTTGATCACCGTCCTCTTCTCAGTGACCGTTTCCCTGGTTTGAGACATGTCGAAGAACTATTTCCTACAAATTAACAAAATGCAAAGTGAAAGCAAGCTTCCCTTGTGGGATGCAGCAAGGTTGGTTGCACAAATTAAAAAGGCCGATTTGCTAGAATAAAGTGCCTTATATACCTAATACAGTATTAGCCTTGCAGCTACAACTCACTTTTGACTTCTACACCACAGTTTCAAATGATAGCGGATCGTACCTGCAGCTCTTCTATATATTATGTCAGGCTTGCTACACTAATTTATCAACTGTTCCAGGATTGGCTTCAGAAATCACGTGGCCAAAGTTGGCTGTCCGAAAACATGTATGTATTGATAATATAAATAAATGTCCAAATTTACACACTTAGTGTAAAAATTTACGACAGTCACTTATCTGGGGCACGGCTATTTCTATATATGGAAATAAAATCGCGGCTTTGGTAACACCCACTATGAATAAACATTACAAAAACGTTATGTCGGCATTTCACTATCGTGATACCGGCAAAGGAACGTGTGTCTATCAAGAAAAAATGACAGAAAGCAGCTTCCAGAACATTGATCTGATGTTAATCACATACCTACCGTAAGGATACTCCTCAGCCTGGGGCCAAATTCGTCCAGCTTCACAACATGTCCTTTGATATTCCAGACTGAAATTAATACATCCAAGTCATATTTTCAGTATGCGCGGCGTAAACAGGAATGACTCAACCGTAGCAAAGCTTTTATGAATGAATTAAAATGCTCTGTAGTGGGTCCCGTTTTCTATTGCCGACTTGGACTAAGCCTGTCATTAGAATTTACGATCGTTTGATCAGAATATATGTGTAGTAGTACTACATTCCCTAATCTCTTTGGTCGGTCGCCCTCAGACGAAGCAAAACGTATCGATCTCTTATACGGTTTGTTTGTATTTTGGTTGACAGAAAAAAATGTGCAGATGTAGGCGTCGTCTCTCAGCTTATTATCAGATATTGAAGAAGTGTCCCACTTACAAGAACCCCGCTTCTCCAGACCTTACCTAGTTCACCTTTGTATGGTTTAAATATTCAAACTGTACATGAATAGAGGACATATAATTATCAAAATCAGCTACTTTTCCTTTTGTTGCATATTGATTAATTTTTCCAAAATTATTATAGAAATTACAATATTTTTTATCATTTTGGTGTCGCAAGAAATCGATCAAAAGACACCGAAACGTCAATAGCATGATAGTTAATGAATATTATAATGTTCTATTAAAAATGAATCTGCATGTGTTTCAAATATAATTTGTATGTGTATCAATGCACAAGAAAGATATTTCTATAAAAAGAACTTATTGAACTGGGTCGACAAAAGCTAGCTATGTCATTTGGGGACAGACTACTACGATATGCAAGACCCATCGCGGACGTGAAATACACTTAATGCAATACATGTAGCTAACAAAATGGGGATCATTTATTATTGGGATATGATCCCTGAATGAAGTTCGTCTAAGTTCTGTGAATAATTAATGCAAACACCTATTGTATAATGACTATAATAGTGAAAGGAAAATGCCAACTATGTAATCGATAACAACTTCTATAAAATTATTGTTTAGGAAGTGATAATGCTGCTTCAATGCGCATTGCAGTCAAAATTCGTCCAGTTACTGAGTACAGATGAATTCAAATGTGGTCATATTTTGTTTAATACAGTAGTCTGTTTAAACACTCTTGATTAGACAAATTTTGTCTAAAAATACTGTTTTATTTGATAGGACTGAATTAACATTTTTTAAATCTTTCAATTGACCATATTTTTTTCAAGGCAAAAAAGTTTCGTAATCTTTGTATAAGAACGTTTTTTTTTTTCGTCTTGAAAATTCTAAAAGAGCCATTCTTTGCGCAGTTTTTTTTTTCTCTAAACGTGCAATCATAGAATTTGTATTTACTGATAATTTTATCATGTACTCATAGTCACTGGATCCTAGACAAAGATGCGTAAAATTGTAATCATGTTATTTCATTGTGAATTTTTAGAAAACAATTTTAGACTAAATTTGTTTTAAATTTATAGAGAGATAAATATATTATTTAACATTAATTGTTATACAAGTAAGTCATAAACAGCACGAATTCTTTTCTTGCAGCAATATCATGTTTTTCTCCCATAAATGATTGCACATTGAACGGAAATTAATATGCATTACGCATCTTGCTTTATTGACTTTTTCCCCTACATCCAAAAAACTCGGTATGATGTAGACTTCTTCTTATCATTAAACGGTCAATGTCGTTAATTCTTTATGAGGTCATGTAAAATGTCGATTCATAAAACAGTTTGTTCTTAGAAAATAGCATTATGGGCATTTTTTCTGGGGCTATCTGTGCATTAAAATGCAATATTTATGCTGGTGAGCAATAAATCAGCACACTTTTTTTGGCATTTCAGACCCTTTTATTTGATCAGAGTCTGCATATTGGTCTGACTTTCTCAATCCAATATTTTGGGTGATAATCATTTGCGAGTATTAGGATCTTTGTAATATAAGGAAAAGCGTACAATTGTAAATACAGTAAAACCACGCTATCTCTAACTCGATTGGACTGAAGATTAATTGATTGTATGTTGTTTAACGTCCCTTTCGAGATTTTTAATTTTTCACTCATATGGAGACGCCACCACTTGCCGGTTGAGAGCTACAAATTTTGTCCTATACTCGGCACTCAGGGCCATTGAGCACTGAGGGATCTTTTTCGTGCCAGCACCTACTGCGACACGGGACCTCGGTTTATACGGTCTTATCCAAAGGACCGGTCTCCATGTCCCACATTGGGATTCAAAATAAAGATTGACTCCTTACTTGAGGTACCACTGCGCCACGCGGGCGACATTGGACGGAGGAAAAACATTTAAGATATCCGAGAACTTTAAATATCGATGATAAAATAATAAATCTAAGTAGTTTGGACTTTCAAATCACTTTGACATATCAATGGCGTTCGAGATACCGGTGTTCGAGATTCCGAAGTTCAACTGTACATTGCTCTTTATTGCAGAGAATCAGAAATTCTCTAGTAATTCATTTTCTGAATTTGAAGTATTTATATATTATTTTAAATTATTCAATATATGTCCAAAAACTAGAAATTGTTTCATAATGGCGATTTTCCCAACACCTTTTGAGAACAAATTACCCATTTTATTTTGATGTGCAAAAATGAAACGCGGGGGAAGAAACAATCTCGTCTCAAAGGAACAAAAGAGGAGAATATTCGGAACTAAACAAAGAATGTGGCCAAATATTGCTTGATTTCTGCAATCTTGCAAAACAAATATTACGTCAAACAGAATTGAATGAAGCTTCTTTTTTGTCTTTTTCCGCTTTGATCTGTATATATACCTACCAAATCTGCTCTATGTTTGTTCAACAATGGACATGCCCAGGCCCTTACAATATCAGCATTTTCCCGATTGTACTCAAATCTTTTGTGGAATTGGTGCATCAAATTCAAGCTTAGGTCTATGAACTTACAACATTTCACGTCATTTAATGTTTATCGAGTGTAAATTGTAAATAAATAAATGTATATTTGTATATCAAGTTGATATCGTGCATATCTTTATTTTATCTTTCATACCAATGGAGAAAAACAAATTTCTCTTGCAAATCCGGAGGGCTTTCGTGAAAATTTGAATTCCTTTGCATCACACTTGCACTGTGTTACGAAATAATAAGTAGAACACACCTGGGAGGGAGATGGAGGGGAAAGATCGCAATGTTCTGGAAAATAACAAAATGCCATCACTTGATTCACTCGGTAGGTATGACATTTGTCGTAGAGACATGACAATACACCCTCACTTGTCCAGTAAACACGTGTGACGTAGGACAAGTCGGCCTCTACGTCCATGTTGTTCAGACGCAGTATCTAAATATCGTTACTCTATGTTTGTATTAAACAACTGTCTGCATAGCCCTTGCAAGGATTAAGAAGTTAAGAATCTGAATTTTGCATCGAAATACAATTGTAGTTGAAGCTGATGGACCTCTTAGCTGCAGAACTGTAGCGTTATAGTTTTATATTACACAATATTTGTCTTTGGCCATAACGTTAAGGTCAAAAACAAAAATTTTAAGAAAAAAAAACAGAACATTACAGTAAAAAAGAAGAATATGAAGGGAAAACAGTTTCTAGACAACCCAGATGACCTACATCACTGATTTATCGGTAACCCTATTGACATTTGGTTCCTAAATGAATCAACCAGGCCTTAAAGTATAAATAATGAAGAGTGGTTACGTCCATCCTATTCACTCATCACATTTACTTACATAGAACATTAAGTTTAATGTAGATGTATCATAACACTGATCAATTATTAATAATCAATTATTAGTATCAAGTTGTATTAGTCTCATTTTCATCTTGCGGCGATTTTAAAATTTATTCTGAGTTTGAAACACGTATTAAAAAAATCAGATTCATATATCATTTCAGCTTCAAGATCAAGATTAAACCCATCGAACAAGTGCTATTTTTTAAATTAAGTCTTGCAAGCTTTAATTTTTGATTTTTTTTCAAGGTTACCAACCCCAGCTGCCCAAAGTGTAAAACTTTTTACCACATAAAAGATCTCTAAATCTTTTCAAAATGATTCTGAGTGGCATTTTTAACGTTTTAAGAAATGATACGTATTCATCATTCTTATGTTCATAAAAACCAGCAGAGTGGAATTATGACTGTAACCTTAACTGATCCGGAATAGCCTCTGATAGCCAGTTTCCCTAGGCAAATCTCTTTTACCCTTCTACAAGGCAAACACTCTGATAAAGAGGAACGACTTCATTTTTCATTTCTGTTAATATGACTTTCAGGAGAGTACTAGTATACATGTATATAACTGTTCATTAAATCCCTGTGCCTTCCGTGTCAGATATGGATATTTTTTTTTACAGTTATTATTTCGGAAAATTTTGGAAGATAAAAATATTGTTCGATTTTTAATGATTAAGAACGCGCATCTTTATAGACATGATATTGAGTATTTGTTCAAGCCATTAATTTATAGGAATAGATGAACTAAAGTTGTCCTTCAAAATTTTAGGGGGGAACATTCTTGCCTTTGTTCTATATTTAAGATATTTTATCAAATACGTAAGTAGGAGTAAGGAAATATTTAGCCACTTTAATTATACGTCTGTACACATTTAAGGTTCACTGTCGTAAATCATCTCGCCAACAACATGTCCGTAAAACGCTTTACTTAAATGATGTCATCAAGCCGACGACAAGCGTGACGTAGCCCCAGGCTCTCACAGATGGTGAAAAATGGACAACTCCCAATGACCCTTGTTGTCAAGGTCAACTGGCTTCTGGCGCTATAACCGTATTAATCCATCTTAAACGAAACTACTGGCGAAAATGTTGGGTTTTTTATATCTTAATTTACTGGATATCGTAAAATTGCTGACTATGCCGAAAGATAAAGTCATATGCAAAATATTTTTTTAAATTTCTCATTAATGCAATTTTGTCCTTTCAAAATATTCTGGTAAAATTTTGCGAATAAGGGTGAGTAACTGTCCATTTACCAAACAGACAAGTAAAACAATGACTTTTTGCAGAGCGCGTACCCCAGAGCAAGATGACGAGACACAGTGATATGGCAGTGGGTGTGGTGATAACTTGTTGCTGTGGTTTTTGACACCCACCGCGTCTGAATTCCTATTATCATCAAATATGGTCATAATTATTAATTTTCTTTGTTTTACATGACTCATCCAGATTCATTCATCTTTAACAATGACCGACTTGATGCATAGTTTTTCATAACACGGTGGTCATCCGTTTGAGGCAATAATTATGATACATGTATCACTATAAGCAATAAATATCTACAAACTACCTTAAAGTAGTCATAAAACATTATTAACAGATTTAAAAAAAAAATAGATGAAAAGAATGTTGTTGTAAAATTAATTATTTGCACATAATACACATGTAAATCACAATTGAGTTTATCATCTAGTATAAACAGTTAACCGACACGTCATAAAATATGGCTCTAGGACCATCATACAAAAATCAGAACACCTTTTCTCAGTTTCACTCTTCCACAATAAATCATTTTTTGTTAAAGTGAAACAGAGAAGAAAAAAATGGTCCCGAGTATGGTTTTTCTGTCAGTGATCTGACGTCATAATATTGGTTTGTCGGAGCTTTCCAAGAACGATTTATTTCTCCTTGTATCATTTCCTGATGAACAGTTCGTCCCCCTTTCTCTAGAGATCGTGTATAAAGCATGATTAGAAGCAATTGCAAATTATAATGAGGACTGTCCTTAAATATACACGTTAAGGACTGAGGATATTAAAAGTAAAGTATCACTTCAAAGCTTTATTTGACTGGAATTAGAAGTTAAATGAGCTTTCGACTGTAATTAAAAATACATAAACGTATAAATTTAGTTTCAATTAATTTTCCCATTTACCATTTTTAAACAAATGACCTCATATCAATTTTTCAATAAGGTTTTCTTCTTTACCTCTCATGAAATTGGTTTTCTTGTTATATAAGAGTATTTTCTGGTCTTGCGTGGGATATCGAAATGAGAGTTGTGTAATATAATCTATGCATAAGTATCATAAAAAGTCTAGCCATATTTCATTTAAAATCTATATGAAACAGAAATGTTCCATCAGACTCAGTAATGAATCAAATTATACTTAATCACAGGGGACTATTTGTATCGTTAAAATCTTATGCTGAAACTCAGAGGGTTCTATGTAATCTATCTTTTTTAAAAAAAGAACTTGAATTAAGTTAATCGATGTAAAGCATTTTGACTATTCATAGCTGGTAAAAGAAATATATATGTTAAATATTGCATTTTTTTCCTTTGGTGCTAAATTAAAATATCAGAGGAATGGAGGCATCTATCTGCTCTAAAATATATATGTTTATCGATGCCTTTTTTGTTTGTTTGTTTGTTTGTTTTTGAAAGGGGGGCTTTTGTTTGTGCAAATGTTTATATGTTCTATCATATTGGATTTAATTTTTTTTCAGCAAATGTAAATCAAAATTTTTCATAGAACGTCTCTTGCTGGATGTATGAACGAAAATCCAATTTAGCTGATAGCATGATTCCATGGGAATTTGTTACGTAACCCCAAAACATATAGAACCCATAACCAAATTAGATGCAATTTAATTTATTTCTGGTGGAGAAAATGTGTTCACTTTTTACAAACGAATTTCACAGAACCTATAATAATTTCACAAGTAAATCTAAATTCCCGAGAAGGAACCTCAGAATTAAACAATAAATCTCGAATTCAAAAACTAATTTTCATGGATTTTTTTTCAATAAAACCGATTATATTTCACAAATATCAAAAATGTCATTTTAAACACTGACTGAAATTCATCTGATTGTGTTCTCATTCGTCAATGCTCTGACCAATGTATTTTCATTTAAAATGTATAGAGAGCAGTAGAACACTGTTTGAAGACATATAGCTTGGAGCAGGGTTTGGGTATTCAGTATTAATAAGTTCTCACAAGAGATGATCCCATTGCAACTTCTTGCCACTAGATCGATGCCGAACATGGTGCATTGTGTTCATATAATAGCCAAAAACTTGTTATTTGGAAGATTCAAGATCGCAATGGCGTGACTGCTTGCATTGCTCTTGGCAGCTACTAGGTTTTTCGTCTGGGTAACTTCAAAATCCAATGTTCTATAGCTTTCCCGGTACATGCTGACTTTGCATGTATCGTATGCCGTCTGGTCTGTTAAATGTAATCACTAACTTATTTGATTTCCAGGAAAGCTTCTGGACCCAATGTCCGCTAAGAACTGACATCGCTAGTTCAACAATCATAACCATATAAATTGCAAATGGTGTGCCAAGTAAATGGTAATTATTTATTAATAAATATTTACTTAAAATGGTTTAACATGGAAGTCATAATATATACTCCTGACATTGCCTCCTTTTCATTGATAAACATGTTCAAAGCAGAGGGGGTAGGGATACTATATCCAAATTGGCATACAAAACGAACAATTCCAGTTTATCAGGTTACTTTTATTGAAAGGCATAACATTATTACAAACACAATTTTTCTCTTCGGAAGATTTACAAAAACTATTCAATGACTTTTTAAAATTTAGTATTCGTGGGATTCGAACCGAAGAAAGAACAAGATGTGTTTGTGAAATACGCATGCCCCCGTATGACAGCTTATTGCGAGGGTTGAAATTTCTCAAATACAAGTCAAACTTCAAAGGTCAAGGTCAAAAGGTCAAAGTTGTTGTTATCCAACAGAGGGTCTTGTGAATGTACCTGTGAAATATAAAAGCCACAGTGCTAGTTGTTCAAAAGCTATAGCCAAGGTAAAGTGGGTCAAACTCTAAGGTCAAGGTCAAAAGGTAAAAAATATTAAAACTTATTAAAGGGTCTTTTCACATTTACATTGTAATGCACGTGGAGTATGAAAGTCCTAGCATTGACTGTTCAAAAGTTATGGCCATGCGTAGTATTTTTTTGTAAAAGTTGGTCAAACTCCAAGGTCAAGAGGTAAGATATGGTGGTTCCCAAAGAAGTATTGTCTCAAGAAATAAACCTGTGAAATATGAAAGCCATAGTTCCAATTACTCAAAAGTTATGGACAAGGTCACAGGCACTTGTTTCTGTAATAAATTTTTGTCCCACAGTATAATCGCGTTATTATTATACTATGGGTTAAAATTTATTACAGAAACAAGTGCCTGTGGGCAAGGTTTAGGTTTTTGCCAACAAACAGATAAACAGACAGACAGCCGGGGCAGAAAGTATATTCCCCCGAATATTTGATTACGGGGGGGGGGGGGCATAATAAATAGTTTTCACCCTGTCTGTCCTCAAAAACTTTAACCTTGCGCATAACTGTGATAGGGTGAGACTATGAACTTCATAGTTCACATAATGTACATGTATTCCTTTTCACAAGAACTTTCTTTGAGTATCCTTTATTTTTATCTTAAAATTTTGACACACTACAGTTAAAAAAAAAGAAATAAGATGTGTTTGTGAAACAATGCTGCCCCCGTATGACAGCTTATGGCGTGGGTTGGAGTTTCGCAAATGCAATTTAAATTTCAAGGTCAGGGTCAAAAGGTCAAAATTGTTGATATCTAAAGGAAGGTCTTGTCACAAGGAATAAACCTGTGAAAAATGAAAGTCCCAATACTAACTTACTAACCGTTCAAAAGTTATGGTCAATATTATTTTTTAAAGTGGATCAAACTCTAAAGACAAGGTCAAATGGTCAAATATTTGTACACCCAATGAAAGGTTTTGTCACAGTGAATACACATGTAAAGTATGAAAGTCCTAGCACCAACTAATCAAAAGTTATGGCCATGATAAAAGTTTGACTTTTTTTTGTAAACGTTGGTCAAAATCCAAGGTCACGAGGTCAGTTTGATGGTACCAATAGAAAGGTCTTGTCACAAGGAATACACCTGTGAAATAAGAAAGTCATAGCCCAACCCACTCAAAAGTTATGGACAAGCATAAAAAGTAATTAATTAAAATCAATTCCTTTATTTATTCATGGATTTTGTCTAAAATCATAGGCGTCGGAAGCAAATCTTAAAGTGGGGTGGCTAATTGACATAGGCGTCGGAACCGAGGGGCTGGGGGAGGCTTACCCCCCCTTTTATTTTTATCAAATATTGATATGATATAGGCATTAGAAATTGCGGTTCGCTTTTTCTTGTTGATTTAGCTCCCCCCCCCCCCCCGCACTTTCAATTAGCCACCCCACTTTCAATTTCCTTCCTACGTCTATGAAGAGCATGTTTTATTTTCAGACTTTAAGTTACTCGTGTTTTTGTAATACCGGTATCATGACGCACTGGCAGCAGAAGGAAAATTTTGCCCAGTATTTTAGATCGTAATGCAACTCTCGATCTTATACAAAGACTGTTGTATATTTTCGTCTGTATGGCATTGGCATTGCTTTGTATTGCAGCGTGTCTTTGTCCTCAACTGGCCATTCAATACAAAATAAAATGACCATGCATGCACTTTTTGTAAATAAGAGCTTGTCAGACATGCAAGATGAATAAAAATGACACAAACATACAGACTAGAGTACCTCATGCTTTAAAACCTGACAAAATTAGTGAAACATGCATGATTTGATCAAAAAATTAAAATTAGTTTCCCATAATTGAGAGTCAATGGATCACATCATTGATCGACTCAGCAGAGTCAAAATTGTCTATCACAGTCTTTGAACACGCTAGGAATCACTCGAGGAATCACTTCTCTAGAAACAGAACGTGCAGTAGTTCGGCTCGTGGTATTCTAGCTCCCACATGCACTCATGGCTGAATTTCAATTGCTGTGACCATTCCAGCTAAAAAGAACGAAAAAAAAATCAATGTTGTTTTAAAAGGATCGGTTATTACATGTATAGTGCCCAACTGCTAGTCCACACTGTCAGCGTAATTCGCCATATCTGTTTCCGTTGTAACCGTGTTTCACTGTACTGTTAATATACATGTATACCAAATTCATAATAATTATAAACTTGCCCCCCCCCCCCCAGTATATTTGATTTCCAATCCATCTAATTTCTATAAATTCATGTATAGACTCTAAAGGTAATTTCTTGATTTCCGAAAAATTATCGCATGTCGATAAAAAAGTCACCTACCAAGTGAGAGGGGTACTCCATTTGATGACCCTCTCTGCGATCAACATCCACGTCTGCATAATACTGAAAGAAAAACAGCATTGTGATAATCACTAGTTAATCATTAATAATTAAAACGACAACTCAAAAATATTGCTGGTATGCTTTTAAAATATTTATAATCTGTACTTAGGTATTTTTATTACTGGACTTATGACAAAGCAGTTGTCTGCACAAGTCTTACCCAGTTCTCAATCCTTTCCTTCATTTTATCAGGAAAAGACTTGGACTGTTGCTAATAAAGACGAGAAGAGAGAGAATAGAAAACAGAGGTGTATACAAATAATACACACACAGAGAGAGAGAGAGAGAGAGAGAGAGAGAGAGAGAGAGAGAGATTTAGGGAGAGAGAAGGATACAGAGACTTACCAAACAGTTGGAGTTGTCCCCATGCTGAGGAAAATGGCCAGTATCCTGTTCCACCGTACAGAACATTTGTCCTTCTGAACTGGAAGGCTGTTGAACCATGGATATGTACACCTGGTTTTGCAGACCCACGAGATACAACGAAGAGCCATCCATTACAACATCGTAAGGCGGATCCTTTGAAGACAGTTCTGATAGAGCATAAACACTGCTCAAGTCATTGAATTCTCCCAGAAAGTCGATGTGTGAGAGAGTGTCTGCACAAGATGTGTCAGCAGCAGATGGTCCCGAAACAGGAACACCACTAATAACAGTGTCTGCATCACATACTTTCTGGAGGCAAGCAAAGTTCTCAGTAACTGTTTTGTCAGCAGTCTCACTATGGCAATGAAATGTGTCACTAGTATTTGTAGACATACACTGTTCATTTTGAGGACTGACTTGGGATGAGGCGATGGACCGATGAGGACGATGTTTCCTCTCGGCCTTCTTTCCTCGACTGATTTTCCTTTTTTTTGCCTACAACATATATGTTATCTCAAAATTTATTTATCAGAGGCATTTAATAATTTCTTAAACATCGAAAAACTTTCTGCTCTCAGCCAAAATAATTTGAACATGGCATATTGCTAGACCTAAACTGGGCCCTTTTTACTAGGAGGGGTTTGTTCAATATAAATTAATTTACTATATTTGCCACACCTCAATATACTAGTTTTATGAAAGGGAAAAGAAAAAGAGTTATATTTCAGAAGACCATTGACGAAATTTTAGTTTTCGAGGAATTTTTGCAGGATCGACCGGCCACTGTATGTATCGTAGAATTAATTTATTTGATTAACTTTATATTTCGACAACAATTAAAACAAAAGAGTATTCATCTAGGTAACTGATACCATTGCATCCAGTTCTGTACAAGAATCCTCCATTGAAAGTCGTCGTTTCATTGTCATTTTTCAGTTTTATCGCAGAGATAATTTTGCACGTCCGTTCGCAACTGAATGGCGCCGTAACTATGACCTGTTGCCACAACGCAACAGCCTCATCTTGCGTCTCCCATAGCAACGTAAATTTTCATAAGTTTATTTTATATTTTCGTAATTATTTCCTGAAGATTGCTTTTTCTTTAAAAAAAAAATGAATTAGAGGTATTTTTCTAAAGAAAAAAAATTATCATCAAATATTCGCGAAATTTAAGATTCGAAGCACATGGAACTTATTGTAGTAGTATTTTATATCTAGAACAGCTGGTAAGTCAGTAAGTGCCATTTTATACTCGATAAAAAATCAAATATTGCTTCCCCCTCCTCAAATCAATTTACTTGCTTACCTGTGCGTATTAACATAACAAATTCCAAATACATTCATATCAGATGACGTTAAAATTACCTATGAGTTTTACGTCACAGTTATGATCAATGCGCGCCAAAATATGGAAGCTTTTCAGTGGATTTTTGGGCGTCTTGTTGCTTGCGAGAGATTGTCATGTTCAAATGAGAGGAACCCAGACAATTAAGTTAACGGTTCATATCCTTCCCCGTCCTCTTACAGAGGCACTCTAGATCTAGGATCAGCTGAACTATCCACAACGAATTTCTTATTCTCAGTAATCCCCCCCGTACAAGTATTTAATTAGGCCTATAGCATTTTTTAAGTTCTTACGTGTTAACTTGAATAGATTGCAATCATTCTCAAGAGCCAAGCACGTTGTCGGGTGTATTGAAACTTTTTGCTAGTTGGGAGCAATTTCAGTTTACAAGGGATTGGTCAGGGTCACAACCAAACATTTTCAGTTTGTGAAAAGTTTAAGTACAAAGTTTCTATGGCATGTAAAACGTTGCAATATTCGATATTTCCATTTGTATTGTATTTTTTTTTCAATTTAAAAAAAAATTATTTTGTATAATTTTTGATTTGTATCGTATAGTGTTATTTGTATTTCTATAATTTACCATTTTTATTCCATATAAATTTTCCATTTGATCTGAAATTGAACCCCACCCTACCCCGGTTCCGACGCCTATGTAAAATTATTTGAAATTTCTCAGAAGTCTGAGAAAATCTATTAAAAAAATAGCCTATTGTTATATCTAAGCAATTTATGCAAGTTTCTCGACAGATTAAATAGCTGATTCATTTCTTTTAATAATAAACTTTTAATCCATCATTTTCAATCAATTAATGATTATCGTGATATCTTGAAAATTGTACCGAAATATTGTACGGAAATATATTCTCCGACGGAAACGGTTTCGCCTTGTGTTCCGTTTCTCTTGACAACAAAAAGCGGCAATATGGAGTACACGGGAAGCAAATATGAGGGCGATTATAAAAATGGAAGGTATATGTATTATTTAAGACTTGATTTATAATTAAATGAGAGTAAATACACAGAAGTGATATGCTGTGCAATTACAGCTGCCAGTTGTAAAGAAATATGAACAAAACGAAAGAAAACTAGTTTTTAAGTACGACCGAATTTACTCGACACAAAAAAATTTCTGTACTCTATTTTAGATACTTTATTTTTATAATTTATAATATCAAATAGAGTCATATTTACAAAATGACAATATTTCTCATTGTTTTATATTAGTCTAATACTTTCTTCAATAGATAATTGAATATTCACTTCTATTTAAGGTCAAGATCTAGTAAATGAAAGATGTCTACAGATTTATCAAATTTGAGAAATAAATTCCTTTAATGATGCACTATAACTTAAACTTGGCCAAATAAGGTGTTTCGGGTCATAATTTATAGGCAAACAAGATGAAAAACCATATTTCAAACAGTCATTTTCAATGAAAAATTAAGAAAACCAATCATTAATATGGGAGTTTTTTAAATATTCGACAAAGGAAATGTATCCAGATTGCCTACAGTCTCTCAGAAAATGGTTATTTATATGTTCATGGCCTCTTCTTTAAAATAATGTCAAATTTGATATAGGTATCCGGATTACTTTTCATATGATTTCAAATTGAATGCCCTGAAAATACCCTTTTTCTACATAAAACTGCTAAAGCCGTAAAGTACGGGAAAAAGAAAGTTGAAATTGATTATGATGTCATAATGGATCTAGCACCACAAAATCAGTGTAAATTCATTTACTAGATCTTGACCTTAAACTCGATCATATTATTGTCAGATGATAAAAATAAACAAATAGGAACCAACAAAACCTCAACCATGCAGTAGAAATTATTTAAATCAGATTTTGTGAAAATGTTAAATCTGAATGAAGTGAGAATTAGCTTAAATTCTCTTGTCAAGTAATCTAGTTTTCATCATGAATCGAATGTCTAGGGAAGGCCTAGCGTAATATATGATAATGCAACAAAAGAGACTTCTACATATATTCCATAAATTACTCCTTTATTTGTGCAGTCTTCAAATTACAACTAAAGGAGGTGTAAAATATGTTTAAAACAGTAAAAGAACAACATCCTGGCATCTTAACATGCTTTATATTGTATAAATAAAAACATGAAATAAATTATGTTTTTCCCACACGTTTTTTGGAAAATTATGAATATTCATTCAAAACAATTATAAAACTTGCTTGTATAAATAACATATCATGATAGAATCATGATATTTTGGGGGAAATTGTGACATATTCAATTGCTAAAAAATTTTTTATCGAAACCCATCCCTATTAATTGAAAAACTCTTTATTTTACCATGCAGTTAATTCATTTTTCATGTCTGCCAAATCTCTTGATTTTGGAAACATTTCACACTAGTTTTATCATATATATTTGCAGGCTCGAGGGCAAAGGGAAATATGAATTTCCAACTGAAACAAAATATGAAGGAGAAATGAAAGATGGCATGTTTCATGGTAAAGGAACATTGTTTTTTCCAAATGGTAGTAAATATGATGCTACATGGGAAAATGGTATTGCTGTAGAGGTAAGAAATTCACTTCTACTGACTGCAAACTAAACAAAATAAATTATATGACTCTTTTTTATGTCCCCCTTTAGATGCCTAAGATGAAGGGTGGGCATATTGCTTTGCTGCTGTCTGTCCGACTCTGTCGGTCATTCGGTCTGTCTGTTGGTCCACCATCAGTTTTTGTTCATTTTCTTTGCAGAGGTTGCAAATATTGAAATGAAATTTGGTATACAGATTTATCATAAGAATATATAGGTCAAGTCTTGTTTTGAGTACGATCAGGCCATTTAGGACAGAGTTATGCCCCTTGGACTTAAAAAAATCCAACAATTTGCATTTCTTTCTATTTTCTTGGCATAGGTTGCACATATTGAAATGAAACTTGGTATTCAGATTTATCATTAAAATATTGAAATCAAATTCAATTTTGGGTACGATCGAGCTATTTTTGACAGTTATGCCATTTCGACTTAGAAAATTCCAATTATTTTGCGGAGGGGGGCATAAGTATTTTACAAACATCTCTCGTTTCTTTTATTTTGTATGTATGTATAAAATATTTACAATATATATGTACAAATAAAATTTCTTGGAATAAAAACAAACATTTTTATCCACAGGGAAAGTACACATTTGCTGATGGATTGGCATATGAAGAAGAAAACTGGGAATATTGTGATGGCTATGACAGACGATTTTACACAGAAATTTGTAAAGGTTTAAAACCAGCAGGTATGTATGTCAACAGTGTATACCCCGGTACATAAAGTACACTAAACTGCAAGAGATTAATTTGATAAATTTACTTTCTCAGGTAATAATATATGCTAAATTTTATTTGCAAAATGTTAATACCAAAGTTAGTTGGAATTAAAATGGTAACAAATGGTTTCCAGAGGAGAAATATGTAAAACAGAGTTTAAGTACATGTATATAAAAAGAGTATGTGAACAATGATTACACCACAATGTATATACTAGGAAAACTTGCTCTTTTATAAAGAACTTTTTTATTCCCACTTTTGATAAGAGAGATAACTCTTTCTGGGTTTAGTGACTATCATTTCTCAAAAAAAAAACCTCCACTCACATGGTAAAGTCGTAGAGTGTCTGCTTTGGAGTTAGGGAGTTAATCCTTATGTCATGGGTTCAAATACCACTGTGGGCCATCCTTTGGATGAGACGGTCTAAACTGAGATACAGTGTCAGTACAGATGGTGGCATGAAAATGATCCCTCACTGCTCAATGGTCCTGAGTGCACAGTATAGGTCAAAATTTGCAGTTCTCCAACAGCAAGTGGTGGTATCTCCATTTGAGTGAAAAATTCTCCAGAGGGACGTTAAAAAACAAACAAACAAAGCCCCTAAAAAATTAAGTTTAAAGACAATTTGTCTTAAATTTTGCAATGCAAGGTATAGATATAAATATATTCACATTTTTCACATTTTTTCCTCTACAATGTATAACTACTGGTTCTACTGAAGATTACTTGTTAATAGTGCATATGGATGAACACATTAAAGGCTGTTTACAAAGAACACATTCTCTAATGAATTTTTTTTATTTTTAAAGGCAGATCACAATTGACCAATCGTGTGCCACCCAGAGAAATCCCTGAGGGTTGTTACGACTGTGGGGATGGCTTCTATAACCCCAAAACAAGAGTCGTTGTCGATTATAATCATAAATTTTTAAGAAATGCAGGTGAGTTACTTTTAATAAATGGAATTTAAGATTAATCAATGACACTTTTATCAGAATTATACCAGTAATGGCAAAATATGTTAAGTGTATACTGTAAACCACTTTTTATTCGCTAGAACTTTATTTTCGTGTAATTACGCAAGACGGTATGCTCGCGAAAATGTCATTCTCATGTATAATAGAATTCCTTAAGATTGTATAGAGCAATGACCACAATTCATGAAAATTTTGTCTCGTTAATGAAGAGTCAATGACTATTTCGCGAAAATAAGGTGTTGCGAAAAATAAGTGATCTACAGTATATACAAACAAAAATATCCAAGTAATCAAAATATTAAAAGTCCTTAAATTGATATTGAAAAAAAATCAATCAACATCATTTTTTTTTCAGATGATGATGAACATGACTGGATTGTTAAAACATGTCGGAAAGGTTGGGATGAATATGTGGGATATAAGAAATCTGCTTGTGGAATTTAAAAAA